TTAACGTTATGGTACAACTTCAGATTGTACCTATACTTTTGTACAAATTCTTTTATGGTACAACTTAAACTTGTACCTTATGTGATGGTACAACTTCAAGTTCTAAAGTTGTACCATAACACAATGATACAAATTCTTTTATGGTACAACCTAAACTTATACATTTAATGTTATGGTACAACTTCAAGTTGTACATTAAAGTACCAATGCTATATAGCATAGTAAAAGTGCTCTGAAACATCGAACAAAAGAATTAAATCCTTTAAACCCACAATAAAATCATGCATGCACTAGTAGGCTAATACTACACATGCTAATAATTTCTTCGCTCCTCTGGAAATATACGATATCAACAGACAAAATAAGGTTACCTTGAACTATGTCTCTCCCCCCTTGCCAATCGGCAAATCCCAGGACTCCCTCTTCTTACTTTTCTTTGATTAAAATGGCTTGAACATGATCACTATGGATTATAGTCGATGAAAGAGGGACAGGGTTGCGCTCATCTCTTCTTCCGTCTCAAGAAAAGAAAGGGAGAGTTTTTGTGAGGAGAGGTTGTTAATGGTGGCGGTGTTCTGATCGATGTTAGCTTTCTTATCCTCATTAGTCCCTGGAGGAGGGAAGTGGTGGTGAATTCCTAGGAGAATCATTTATAATCCCATTCATGTACCAAGGGCAAGGAAATACACACCTGTCATCTACTGCTACTATATGGGAAATGGGGAAATGGCATATTTATTTCTCTCCTTTTCGGTTCATGCATGGAGTGGAACTCTCCATAGAGCTAAAACAAATTGGAATGGGAATGACATCCTCTCTTGGCAATTGGTATAGTGGGCAAACAAATAAACAAGGATGGTATATGAGTAGAGCAAAGTTTTACCTATTAGAGTTGGAGACTCTTAATCATATTTGGGTTAATAAAATTCAAATAATGGCCAACGATTTAAGATAATTTAAGTGGGATCATTCTAGTTTAGGTGACATACTTCTAATAGACACTAAAATTAATTTAATGCATTGATCACCATACTTGAACTCCCACGCCTGCAATGTACATATTAAGAAGATTAAGCACGAGATGGCGTTACATGACAGACATGACACCCAAAAAGGATAATGAAAGCGAATACTTGGAAGAAAACTACAACTTTGCTTGATTGCTAAGTAGTAAGCAGAAATATCAACAATGCATGGTGTAGGTAATTTGATTAATATTTTTTATTACATTATAAATGGTTTATTTTTGGAATACCTATAATAAATAATTGTTCAATTTCTTCTTTTGTGAAATCCTCTTTGTAGTATCACATCTTGATATAATGCATCTATTGTTCTATGTTGGGTATCATGTTCTAATTGATTGTTCAATTTTATCTTTTTTATAACCCTCTTGTGTTGTTTCATGCGCATTCAAACCAATTGCATAATTAAAACTCTAAGGTCTTCACTTATCATGTGTAAAAATTGCTATGTGCATGTGCTTATGATTCTCTTTCTCAGATTTTGATATTAATCATGTAATTTTACAGAGGTATTTGGGATTGAAAGCCCAAAGAAGGGTAATACAATATTATGAGATATTTTGCAGGAGGTATTTCATTGAAGGGTGTTGTGCTGCAATATTATGAAATATTTTTCAGTTTAATTACCATTGTTGTCTAGGTGTCATTTATTGTTGTCACGATGCTGATTATTTCTTATTGAAATGCTCATTTTATAAAGCTCCATGAGTATTCAACGGAAAAAAGAAGAAGCTCCATGAGTGAGCTTGAAAGAACCCATTACGAGCACAAAGTTTTGTAGGGGTCGTTTGGATTAGTGAATGTGATGAGGGATTTATGAGTGATTTTAAAACAATCACTCGTTGTGCAGGATTTTAAAACAATTCTGCGTTTGGAAAGGTGAGAGATTGTATGCATGAGGAAATTCTAAATCTCTCATATGAGAGTTTTTAAAATAGCTGATGGGGATCAGCTATTTCACAATCACTCATTTTTTCTCATTCTTTTCCAAACTCTGCCCCTCCTTTTGTTCTTCCTTTCTTATTCTTCCTTAGGGATTAGGGATGGGTATAATTGTAACTTTAATTTTTTATTAAAATCCTTCATCTATTCCCAAACATGTTATTTGGATCAAATCCCACGTTTAAAATACCTGGGTTTTTAATTGAGAGATTTTAATCCAAATCCCTCATTTACACATTCCCTAATCCAAACGACCCCGTAGAGTATTTCATTTATTTAGTTATTTGTATCTTACATACTTTTTTTTTTTGGCAAAGTCAGTAGTTGAAACGAAAGTCACAAAGAGGAAGAAAGAAAAACGTGGGAGTCGATTAATAATCGAGAGCCCGATGAGATGACCTTTTGTGTTACATGATGGGCAACCCTATTAAGTTGACGAGAAACAAAACATTAGGAAACTCTGCTAAACGAAGAAGCTAAACTCCTAGCATCCTCCAAAATATCTCCATCCCGATCATGATGCATATCACCTCCAACATCCGCCGAATCAAGAGTTGAAAGTCCCCATGAAAATTAACAGCAAGAAAGGAATGAGGTAGACACCACTGTAAGGCATCACACAAAGCTAAACATTCCATTATAAATGGATCCTCGATCCCATCATAATATTTTCCAAAGGCAAACTGAACATTACATGTCGCATGAAAGCCTACAAAGCCAATACTACCTCCTTGACCACGCTTGGCCGCACCATTAAACAATACATTGATTATGGCAGAGGATTTTGTGCCTGTAGTCGGGACTCTGTAAACACGGGATGAGGTAACAGCGAAAAGACCATTACTATAGAGGAGTTGAATCAGAGGAGTCTGTATAGCCGCCCTCCACTCGTCCACTTGTCGTTGATACTGCCGAAACAATACAAATGGGAGGTACTGAATGCCTTCATGAACCGCCCAACACCTCCCCTTCCAAAATCTCCAGAGAATGAAAACAATATTAGCTAGCTCAATTTTGGAGAGGTTCATAGGAAAAAAAAAAAGATGTTGTCTGGCCTCGTCGGGAATCATTCCACCAAGAGTAATGCTCATGCCTTCAAGGTTTGCCAATCTCCAAAGTCCTGTAGCTATCCCGCAGGGAAAGAAAAAAATGGGAAAATGATTCTGGTTCCCCGGAGCATATAGGAAAAATCGAGTCAGAAACAAGAGTTTTAGTAAACAACAATATCTGCAAAGGCAAAAATCCACGGACAGCTCTCCAAAAAAAAGAACTTCAGTTTGGGCTGCATAGGAATGCTCCAAAGGAGTTTCCAAAAACGAGTGTCAAAAGGTAGAACCACCGGGGATGTCCAAGGTTGTACTCAGTAGACAGAAGATGATAACCTATCATAACAGTGTAAATACCAGAAAGTGAGTAATGCCATAGCAAACGATCAGTAGAAAAAGAAAGAGGAAGTGAGATGGACAAGATGAGATCGACACTCTCTTGAGTTAACAAGGAAAGTAAGAGTTCCTTCTTCCAGGAATGAGAAACATGACATATGAGTAAGAGTTTAATATGAATTCACCACACTAAAACGCAAATCATGAAAGTTGAGTAAGCGTTTTTGGTTACATTGATGTGGCGATAGGTGTTAGCAGGATGAGTCACACAAAAGATGTTTAATTATATATGTTGCGGTGCAAAGATTGTCCTTTAACTAAATTTGATAATGTTGGCTGACATGTAATGCCATAGAATAAGGAATGGGAATGCTATTTTCCTATTGATTCTGTCACTGCATTGTTTAGGAAACTATAAGGTTTAGAGTTTGATGTATATGAATTATGTCTCATGTTAAGAGAAATAAATATTAGCTAAAAAGATTGTGATTATGTTCTTCCTATTTATGCTAGACCTTGTCAGCTAAATTAAAGCACCTCCAATCCCAGCCAATCAGCCGCCAAGTTTCTCCAACATAGTCCTGCGAACAACAACCCAACACGACCCTCTAGCAATCCCTAACAGACACAATCATATCATGCAAGACTCACTGAGGACATCTGAAGGCCCCGTCCCTCAGGTGAATAACCGGTATCAATCAGTTGTCCACCATTCCCAAAGCACCTCCAACCCCAGCCAATCAGCCGCCAAGTTTCTCCAACACAGTCCTGCGAACAACAGCCCAACACGACCCTCTAGGAATCCCTAACAGACACAATCATATCACGCAAGACTTACTGAGCACATCTGAAGGCCCCATCCCACGTGGCCGGGCAGGGGCAAAGTCACATACCGATCTCTGATGACCAACGCGCGTCCGGGCCACCAAACGACCGCAACTAAGGCCAACCAGAAGCCAACGACCAGTCCCACCCCGACCGAGCCCCCAAACTCCGCCAGATCCCAATGAGGCCTCACCCAACTCCAGCCCACACCGAAGGACACGCCAGTTTGAAACAGTAAATCTCAGTCACGTTGTACAGTAAAAGGTGTCTGTGTGTACAGTACACGGGCATGCGGCGGGTTTCTTTCTTTCAATTATGTAAGTTTTCTTTTCAGAAATAGATAACTAAGTGAATGCATTGTTAAATAGACAATTTATAAATGGTTATTCACAAGTATCATAATCGTGCATAATACAATATTCGACCATTGATGAAATATTATTATAATTTCAAAATATTAAAAATAATTCTAATTTAAATTTAATTTCATAAATATTAACACTTTTAAATAATTTGAAAAATTAAGATACATTATATTCAAATAATATTTCATCAACCACTTAGTCACCAAACTATAAATGGGAGCTTTTTACAATTTTTTTAATCTATGTTTATTATGGCCAATTTATTTGTAAAATTTATGTAAATTTTATCAACATTAAAATCTTAATAATTAGATTCTAATTATCACACCCTTATAGAATAATATAATCTAGTTATCCATTTGTGTGGCATACAGAAAAAGGATTCGTAGGAGATCGTGGCGGGCCAGCCAACAACCACGTGTGCCGTTTTATTATAAATTCATCTCCCTACTACACATCCCAAAAGCATTTCTCCACACTTCCTTCCGAAGTCTCTGAAGCTAACCTGCTCCTCATTTCCATGGCTTCCCTTCCGCGCCTCGCCATCTTCGTCTCCTTCGCGTCCTTGCTGCTGCTCTCGGCTTCGTCTTCCCAACTTCCCGGCGCTAAAGAATCCACCACCAGCAGCGGTGATAAGGTCCCCCTGGCTCTCTACTACGAGTCTCTCTGCCCCTACAGCGCCAATTTCATCGTCAACTACCTGGTTCGAGTCTTCGAAGACGACGAGCTCTTCTCCATCGTCGATCTCTACCTCTCCCCCTGGGGAAACGCCAAAATTAGATCCAACGGAACCTTCGTTTGCCAGGTTTGAACTAAACCCCTCCTCATCGTTTCAGCTTTCTGTCCGATTGGATCACCATTCGAGAGTTTCTAATTCCGGTGAGAATTTCGCTGTTTCCTCCCGCTGGTGCAGCACGGAGAGGCGGAATGCTTGCTCAACACAGTGGAAGCTTGCGCAATTCATGCTTGGCCTAAATTGGTGAGCAATCCATTGAGTACTCTTTCTAGTTGGAGCAGCTGGTTTTGAATTTTGGTATGGGTTTTTTATTGGAGAAAGGGTTACAATACGGCGCTTGGTTTCCCAGGAGAAGAATTTCCCTTTCATCTATTGCGTGGAGGAGAAAGTGCATGAAGGTAAGTACAGAGAGTGGGAATCGTGCTTTGGCGAATTGGCTTTGGATCCAAAACCTATTCAGGACTGCTACAGCAGTGGGTATGGCGAAAAGGTCAGTTTCCCAAATCTTGATATTCGTTTTCCAAAGAATTGGATAACCTTCCCAGTGAAATGTTGCAGTTGAAAGTAGTGCTTTCAGGATCCTGAGATCTCTCTAGGTTGTTCATAAGAGAAAATGTTACTTCTCTGTAGAATAATTTTGGTGGGTTTCATTAGTGTGCTTGCATAAGTATACCAGAAATTCTTGGGATTCGTTTCCTCTGCTCTAAAAGGAATTTTCCACTAGGTGTGAGATTCATTAAAGTTTAATATAGTTATCAAGTACTGACAAAGTAAACGGTATTGGGCAAGGCTGTGTGTTCATGTTTCCTGCAGGATTAAATTGATTTTGACGGTCTTCTGATTGGATTATGTAGACAGAATAGAAACCAGCAAGATGACCTGAGTGTAGGGTCATTCAATATTGTTGAGTACCAAGTTATGGATTTTATCAAGGATTAGATCTTTTCCTGTTTCTTGGTTGGATTTGCTGCGATGCAATACTTCTCACCGGGAGATCATGATTCATGATCTTCTTCATTGTCTCCCAAATACATTGGAAGCCTTTTAATGTGGTGGCTGTTTGTGTAGCTTGAATTGAAGTATGCAGCTGAAACAAATGAACTTGAACCTCCTCATCAATATGTGCCTTGGGTTGTAGTGGATGGAAAGCCGCTTTACGAGGTTCGTTCATTCTTTCATAACTATCATGTGTCATCCAGAAATGTTTCTTTCAATGGAAACCTGGCGTGATTAACGAATGTAATGTGCTGCAGGAGTACGAGAACGTCATTAGTTACATCTGCGAGGCATATAAAGGCACTGCAACACCCAAAGCTTGCAGCAGCCAGGTATCCAGGTCCATCATCCAGAAGGGGAGAAAAACAGGCAGGCCATCCGCTCCAGTTTGTTACAAGGACTCCGTGGTCTCAAATCTCTCGAAGATGATAAGATCAGCCATATCGAAGTTGATTCAGGCAATGGTGATCTAGGAATTTCGGCTTTTGTGGGGCATTATCGTCGGCAGTCGGCATAAGATAAGCATGTAACGGGATCCCTTTTTAGATTTAAAGTGATACTGTTTGCTTGAAATTGTAATGTTGCTAAATGTTAAGTGATCAACACAGTTATAAGATTTGCGTAGTCTGTGGTAGTGGGTAGAAACCAGGGCGTTTCTTTCGTGACCCTAAATAATGGCAAGTTGCTTGTTGTGTATGGACGCACTGTTATGGTTAATAGAAGTATAGAACACGTTTCACCAGTATTTGTGTTAGGCTGGAGTTAATGAAATGATTGTCCTTATTTTCGTTTCTGCTTATTTGATCATCAAAGTCGATATGTCCGAGTGGTTAAGGAGACAGACTCGAAATCTGTTGGGCTTTGCCTGCGCAGGTTCGAATCCTGCTGTCGACGGCTTTTTTTTTCCACACTTGACTTTTGTGATCAGTTTCTTATCCCATCAGAAACAGGGACAGCCTGCATTTTCTGTTTGCTGACTAGCTAATCACCATGAACCCACTATTGACTGTTCTTGCGGTACTTTAAGTTTCAGTGATCTGGGTAGATGAAAGAGAAGCCATTTTGAAGTTCAAGGTTGATCTTAAAGACCCTTCAAGTTTGCTGACATCTTTGGTTGCCCTAGGTGATAGCTGTACATAGTCTCATTTCGTCTGTGACAATTCCACTGTCATTGACTCAGACTGCCATCGCCTTCTTCCTTCTCAATTCCGTGCTCAGTGGTAAGCTCAATCCTCTTCCTTGCTTCAGTTGAAGCATCTCAGTTAGTTGGACCTGTCGAACAATTACTTTCAAGGGATTCCTGTTCCAAGTTTTCTTGGCTGTATGAGTAGTTTACATCATCTTTAGCTTGATGGTGCTGTATTTTTGAGGTGTCATTCCTCATCAACTTGGGAACGTCTCCAATATCAAGGTGGAAGACGAAAATCTGGACGCAGAGAAAAATCTGATCCTATTAGCCATCTGGCTGATTACCACATGAATGAGAAATGGATTCAAAATGAACCAACTTGAAAACATCATATCTGCTGTCTTGCATTAATGTCAGCTAACTAAATACACATTTCTGCTTTTCTTGCTACTTCTGGTTTTGTTCACTAGCCACTGCATTGAATATCATTCTCTCGATTTCTAATGCAATTTCTTCCTTTCTCTTTCATAGGATGAACCAGATGGGAATTCAAGAACTAATGCAAATAAAAAAAGCTCCAGCTCCAGTTCTCAGGAAATGCTGGTTTAGTAGCAAAAAATCACCTGAGGTATTTTTAACTTGATTGCGCAGTGAGTTTACTATAATTACTAAGCTACAAGTACAATGTTGGACACAGCACAAAGTGTCTGGCTTGCAGCAAGGCTAGAACCTATTGTCTGCAAGTGACTGTTAGCTTCATGAGGAGCAAACACAGATTCCCTTTGCCAGCTTTCTGCAGAGAAAGGTCAGTAGCGGCAACATAATTTGTCCCACAGAAGATCCACAAAATGAAAGTAGCCATACCTCCACTGCTTATTGAGTACAACGGAACCCACCACACCCCAAAAGCCCACTATGAAACCAAGTGCCAAGCTGACATAAAACCATTTAAATTCCGAGCCACTCCCATCCCCTTCATCAGGCTCATCCCTCCCATTTCCACCGCTTTCATCAGTAACTCGGTCTCTGGTGCAATTCTTCGCAAGTGGAAGACCGCAGAGGTCCTTATTTCCAGCAAAACTGGAGGAGTTCAGGCTCTGCAGTTGAGTGCTGGAAGGAATCCTGCCACTCAATCTGTTGGAGGAGAAGTTCAGAAAGCTCAGAAATGTCATCCCAGACATGCTTGGAGGGATTTCACCAGAGATTTGGTTGAGAGAAAGGTCGATCGATTCCAGGGATCTCATGGATCCTATGTCTCGAGGGATGTCTCCTGTGAGGGAATTATCTGACAGATTTAGAGACTGCAAACCTCCAAGTCTCGTAATCTCTTCGGGCACCTTCCCAACTAATTTGTTCCTTGACAGGTCAATGCTTCTCACAAATTTGAGGATGGAGCCATATTCATACAACTTCCCTTTGATCACAACCACTGCTGTCTCGAAGAATGGGCCTGTGCCATTGTAGCTCAGCTGGATGACACCCTCGGAATCATTCATTTGAACCATTGCAGTGAAGTTGTTGAAACATCTGGGTATTTCACCAGTGAGATTATTGTCAGCAAGGTCCAGAATGCGTAAGGAGTTCGCCAGGCAAAGCTCCTTCGGTATCTGACCATGGAACTTGTTGTCCCTCAGGTTGAGAATCATCATTCCTGAAAACCCACCACCTATCCAAGCTGGAAGGCTTCCTTCCAAATTGTTTCTGCTGAAGTCAAGGGCCACCATCTTGGTACTGTTTGCAAGTGATGGTGGGATTTCTCCAGAGAGATTGTTGTTTCGAAGGTGAAGTGACTGGAGGAATGCGAGTGCTCCTAGTGATGGAGGGATTTTACCTTGAAACTTGTTGCTGCTCAACTTTATGGCCTCCAGGAACTTCCAACTCCTCCAGCAATCAGGAATCTCTCCATGGAACTCATTTGCTCCAAGGTTCATCACTTGCATGGTTTTCTCTTCATCCGGTTTGTAACACAGGAAGTCTGATAGAGATCCAGACAGCGAATTGTTGGAAAGGTCTAAAATACTCATGAAAGGATAGATGTTTGGCAACGGACCATTCAAAAGATTCGAGCTGAGATCGATGCTGTAGAAGTGTGAGTTGAAGAACAACCAAGAAGGTATGGAGCTCGAAATTCCTGAGCTCGACATGTTGAGCTCTGTCAAAAGCTTCAATGAGCGGATCCAAGCGGGAAACTGAGGTCCCAAATGCCAGAATCCCATCCCCAGAATCTCTATCTGTGGTGGAGGTGTCCACCGGGGACCAACTTTCAAGCTCAGTCTGTTTCCTGATGCTTGGAAAAGCCACAGCTTTGTGAAGTTGTGGAAATGAGATTCCTCAACATCACCTTCCAATGAATTCTCTGAGATGTCAATGGATTCTAACTGTGAGAGGCTTCCAATACCTAAAGGAAGAGGCCCTTCCAACTTGTTGCTGAAAATCTCAAGGTATCTCAAAGATGCAAGATCGGTCAAAGACGCTGGAATTTGACCTGCAATTATGTTTCTTGACAAGGATAGAGTGTCTAGCTTCTGAAAGTTTCTGAAAGGAATGTTAATCAGGTGACCAAACAGTTGACAGTTAGAAAGCCTGATAGACTCTAAAGTTCTTGCAGGGCATCCTGAAAGAACCCTGAGAGCTTCATCAACCTCCTGCCTTAAATTGACCCCTGACAGAGTTACAGTCCTCAGGCTGCAAAAATTTCTGAAGTAGCCTGGAATCCCAACCCGAGACTCGAGCCTATCGTTGGACGACAAATCCAGGTCTACGAGAGAAGTCATGTTTTGCATAGCACCTGAAAAGATTTCTCCTTCCAACCCGTTCTGCGCAAGGTTGAGAAGCTGAAGATGGTTCAACCCAAGAAAGCAGTTTGGTTCCAAGGAGGTGAATTGGTTCCAGGACAGGTCAAGTTGCCTGAGGGAAGTCATGTTGTGGAGACCCTCAGGAATCGGACCACGAAACCGGTTGTTTGCGAGAGTGAGGGTTGTCAAAGAATGGAGATAGAAGGTCCAGCTCGGGAACAAAGGGTCATCAAAGTTGTTATAGGAAAGATCAAGAAGAGAAAGCGACGAAAAGTTGACATTCTTGAGGAAGCTGGGAATCGAACGAAGCCTGCAGTTTGACAAGTGGAGTTCTTGGAGGAAATGAAGCTTGTTCACCACAGTAAGCCAATTCGAGGCTCTACTGAGATCCACATAGCTCAAATCCAAGAATTCCAAGGAAGACAGACCCGAAATCCAGTCGAATTGTTGGACAGTGAGGTTTCCTCCATAGTTAGGTTGCAAGTTCAGGTACCTTAGACGGGAGAGGTTCCCGAGCTGGGCAGGGATCGTCCCAACGAATCCTGCCCCGGAGAGTTTGAGGAGCCTCAAGTTCGCGAGATAGCCGAGGAAGGCAGGGACCGAGGACCCCGAGAAGTCGTTGTTGCTCAAGTCCAAGTATCTCAGTTGCTTCAGATCGCCTAGAGAAGGGCTGATCTCTCCACTGAACGTCGTCAGTGGAGGCAAATCAGCAGCTCCGAGATGGAGCTCAGTGACATGGCCCGTAACATTGTGGCAGATGACTCCGGACCATTTGCAGCAGTCGCCAGCAGCCCATGACTCGAGCCGATCGGAAGGGTCTACCAGACCCTTTTTGAGATCCAAAAGAGCCCGCCTTTCAGTAGGCTGGCAGGCCAGCACGAGGCTTCCATAGGTGAAGCTGCTGATTGCCATGAAGAAGAACAACCAGCAGAAGGGCAGTAACACTGCTGCAGCAGGGGTAAGAGTCATGGGAAATTTCTGGTATTGTTTTTTATTTTTAGTTTTGTCCGAGTGATATCAGTTTATGTTATGAGCGGGGAAATCTTTGCACTGATATAGGTACTGAACTCATCACTCACCTTGACTTGGTGGGTTTCCTTGCAATTGCATCATGCCTGGGTGTGTGGAACGAGTATGTTGACCCAGAAAGTCGTGGCCTTTTATCATCATTTCTATACAAACCGAAACGCGGGTAAAGGCGGGTCCCTTTGGAAGTTTCTGAATCTGGTGGTACAAGTTGGTGCGGTTAATGGGTTGGTTGGAAATCGAGCGATAAGAAGTTGTCGAGTTGATGGAAATATAGGGATGGGGTCAGGCTGCTGTACTGTACAGACCTTGGTGCAGAAAAGAGAAGATGCTGATGCATTTGTGTTTAAAGATGACAAGATGGAGTGACGGAAGATGTGGTGGATTCAATTCTATGCTTTGTATTTCCATGGAGGCCAAAACAGAGGATTTTGCAAAATTGACCAGGAATAACTCAACGTAAGATAAAAAAAAAAAGGAGAGAAGACAATCATAAACTGAAAAATAATTTCCGACTTGCCGGATTCGAACCAGCGACCTAAGGATAACAGTTTCAATACAACTACAGTCCTCCGCTCTACCAACTGAGCTAAAGTCGGATGTTGGGGCATTTCCTCACCATATTCTACTTAACAGAGGAATCAAAAAACCTCGGGTTTTTTTCCAGATTTGGAGAGCTTGATTGAGTACCACCAAGACAATCGATGCAACCTAACCAAACCACAATTTTGTAGAACCTGACCACAGGTATGCTGAAGTCACAAAAACTAGAAGGAAATCACTATTGAAAGAGCTCAACTACCAAAATTCAATAGAAACCTCACTCCAATTAAAAGTTTATAGATTGGAAAATATAGCTCCCATCTCAACTCCAATTGAATATAGATGTACAGCTCGTTTGGATTGATTGTTTGGGTGTGTTATTTGACACAAATAACACATTTCTCCAAATAACATGTTTGGTTGGAAAACAAAAGAGGATGTGGTGTTTGTCAAATAAACACAAATGCGTTGTTTGTCAAATACTTGGGGAAAAAATCCCATTGTACACATGTTTTTAAAAAAAATTCTCAAAATACACATGTTATGAAAAAAATTCCCAATCTACGCATGTTTGGGCCTTCACCGCGTCAGACTAAGGCGGTGATTGCTTCACCGCATTAAAGAAGAGCGGTGATTGCATCACCGCGTTAGAGAAAAATGGTGATTGCATCACCGCTGTAGACAAAAACGGTGATAGCTTCACCGCATTCAACGGTCACGGTGAAGGCCTGACCTACGTCGAATCTTTAAAAAAAACGTAACTTTGTGCTCGGTTATCCGATCGTGGTGAAATTTTTTTTGATTCCGCATAATTTTTCGAGATCTTGCAAGCCGCAAACAGCCGGAGGCGGTTTGGTCCCGCCTTCGTCCCGAAAAAACGTCGTTTGCTACCCCGAATGAGCCTTTTTTCGATTTCGTCAAACTTTGAACTACCATAACTTTGTGCTCCACAATTCGAAAATCATGAATTTTTTTTTATTTTGCATAACTTTTGAGGACTACAATTCTCTCCTACTAAAAATTGTAGTCCTCAAAAAGTTATGCAAAATAAAAAAAAAATTCATGATTTTCGGATTGTGGAGCACAAAGTTATGATCGTTCAAAGTTATGGTCGTTCAATTTTTAATAATTCACGTTGGTACTACTTAATTATTGATCATCCGATAAGAATAAATAGGTTAGTCCTGGAACAGAAGCAGCCGAAGATTTTTAAGAATTATGGTTAGCTTCTTTAGTTAGGAATTAGATAATTCAACACAAGTAGTCAGGAATATTAATATAGAAGCTCTGATACGATGACACTTAAACGAAAGAATACGAATACGTAGTTTTACTTTTTACGTGCTATATCTGAAACTAGGACTAGTCCACGCCTCCACGAGAGAGATAAAACTCTTCAGAATCAATATTATTCAATTTATCCTTCGGCATAATATAATAAAATATATATATTGGCAACAGACCTGAGGTAGATTAGTAAAGCAAGTGGACCGGAGAAGTTGAATAAGAGAATTTAATAGCCGTTCTGGTGGAGTCATCTAAAAAAGAAATTTACTTTATTGAAGAGTTCTGGGGCAGCTTCAGCTACTATTTCGAACGTGAATGGAATGTTTCGAGATAGAGGATCAATCTACTGTGATTGCCATCTAATGCTATAGGGGTTGTTCGCCTTTATACAGCTTGGCTTGGCTATAGCTAGAAAGTAGAAACCCTAACCCCACTTAGTCTAGGTAACTTATGTAATAAGCTCATTTCCATAATGCCACCGACACTAAGGTATGTCGGTATTTTATAATAGTCTGAGCTCAAATTAGCTTCCAGATGTAGTAATTGCTCGGTCAGGGACATGCACTAGGGCATTTTTCTCGTGTTGATTGAGAGACGTGCTTTATTCTCTACTCTACTCTATGCATATCGTCGATAGTGAGAGCGTCTTTCTGACGATTAGATATTTATTTCACGAATTTATAGGCGTGTTTGGAAAATTCGTCTAAAATATCGCATTGCTTTATAGCCAGGAAGCTGGTACGGGAACCCCAAATTAGGGCAACCCAACTTACTGAACATGAGTGATTGAGTGTCATTGCCTAACGTGTTCAAACCTTCATAACTCAGGTGAATCAACAAGAATTATGAACAACGAGCGATAAACGATCATGTATTTTAGCTCATGTGATTACAGAACCACTAAACGGAGGAAGAAAATCGAGATCTTGAACACAAAAGAAGCTCAGCTTCATTAATATTATTAATCACTTGGTCACAAAAACACATATGAAATGGGGCTTAATTAAGGCTTTATTTTATTAATCACATCCCAAACACATGGAAGACGCCCACACACACACAGATACGCAATAGCTAGGCACCCCGCTGTAGGGTATATGCAACTAGCAAGCTCGCAAGCTAGCATTTGGCAGCTGTGGAGAGCCCGCACTTGGCAGGGAGCTTCTCCGCAAGGGGAACGCTGATTCCAAGCGAAGGGATCAGAGGGGATTTCCTGTAGGAGCAGAGGCATCGCATATCGGCGTGGGAGATGGCCCTGCAGCAGTCCGCCGTCGGCGGTGGAGGCCTCGGCGGCGTCACCGACGGCTTGCAGGCCCTCAGCCCTGCGATCGGAATGTTGCATATTGTCTGACCACCAATAGTGTTCATCATGTTGGACATGGACAGAATTACGATAAGCACAACAGCTAATTTATGCTGACCATGATTACCCACTACTCTATTTGCTTCCATTTCTTTATTTTGGAGGAGAAAGAAATTGGTGGTTCTCTGGCTTGGCTTGTATTCATTTCTTGCTTACTATATATAGAGTGAGAGACAGAGAGAGTACTAAGTTGAATGCCTCCATCTCTGGTGGACTCGAAGTCTCCTCTGCTTTTGGGTCAACATGGTTTTCAACATTGATGGCTGTGAATGCTTATTGGCTCAAACCACTACGGATTATGATATATCTATACATTCTGCACCAAACCATGGGCTGGAATTAGGTTGTGGAAAATTATTGGCAGTGGTAGGGGAGAATGTTTGGTGGGAACTTGACTTTCGGAGCTTTTAGTTTCTCCTTTTCTTTTCGGGAGATGGAATTGGTCCCTGTTCTGGAAGCTCTAGCCTCTAGTTGACTTGCTAGTTGACCCGTCAGTCGTTGATGGTGAATAGAGATTCACTTTCCGTTTATTCAGTGCTCTGTTTTTCAAGGAGGTGAAAACAGAGGATTGGTGTAAAGACTAAAGAGGATATCATTCTTTCTTTGCTTATGGTAAAAAGAAAAAGGTAAAAAAAAAACACAGAAATGAAGGGTGAAAAGAATTCCTACCTGCCGGATTCGAACCTACGACCTAAGGATAACAGCATGTTTCTACTAGAGTCCTCCGCTCTACCAACTGAGCTAAGGTCGGAATGTTCTACTAGAATAAGCAGATTGATAACAAACACACAAGAATATAGACACAGCAGTGCAATTTCCCTTTCTAGCGTCACTTGATCTGATACACGTAACATACAGTCACCTGTATGTTTAATTGGGTCCAAAAACTTAAAATATATAGAGGAGCGAGTTGGTGCAATCGTAGTTAATTCATGATTTGATATTTATCTACTCTTAAAATAACTCGAATTATTGCGAGTGAGTGATTGATGTAGGTGGATTGCATTTTTTTAGATATTTTATCCGCACTTGTTCGGGTGGGTGGTGGGTGGATTGCGGGTTACCTGAACGACCTGCATCATATTTTCACATGACAAAGAGTTGTTTTTTTTTCCCCGATGAATGACAAAGAGTTGTTTCTTGTTTATATTACTATCGAATAGACATCATATTTACTAATCGCACTACACATTGACCATCGACTTATAGAGGTGGAGGATAAAGAATATTTTTGGACTACTATTATTGGTTACTATGTGTTGTGCAATGTCCATTAGATATTGTGATGGAAGTTATAAACTTATAATTGTGTTAAAGTGGCAAAAAGCGTAAATTTTCTCTACACAATGGGTTATGGGTATAATATGCCGCTCTATTATGCAGTTTTATCAAACATGCCCCTCTACTATTTTTCGCATTAAACATGCCCTGTACTTTAAAAAAATGATCAAACATGCCATTATGTTAAAATTTCATTGAAAAGATCGTGCACCATGGTTGAACCGAGATTTAGATGACCCGACATCGACAAATGAGAGGAAAAATGTTTGTTTTGTCCCTTTATTTACTTCTCTAGGTCTCGTTATAGTGAAATTATTAGTGGTATTTGGCAATACAATAGAACACAAAAATTCTAAAGTGAAATCATTAGAGATATTTTAGACATTTGTGTCACCCAAACCAAGTTTCGAGCGTGGTTGACGGGTTTTGGATGGAATTTTAACATAAGGGCATGTTTGATCATTTTTTCAAAGTATAGGGGCATGTTTGATGTAAAAAATATGGCTAATACCACTACACCACCCGAAAAGTGCCACTTGTGTCCTATTTTATCCAATATTCCATTTATGTCCTGAACTATTTTTCCGTTAGTGTCAACCGACGTAGACCGTTAATATTTAACATAAAGTCTAGTCAGCGTTGAAGTGGCAGCTAATGTGGAATTTTAAATAAAATTTTTATTTATTTTATACTATCACTTAACAAAATAATTATGAAAAAAAAACCCAATCTATGCATCATCTCCTCCTCATCCCCACTCCTACAATTTATCCATCTTTATCATCATCATCTTCAACGCCCTCAATCCGCAAAGAGTTTCTCGGTTGTGGCCACATCCACCCTCCCTGCAGACTACTTCGGTGGCAGCTTTTGTTGTTTCGAGCAGCGGAATGCCCCAAATCGAGAAGGTGCTCGGCGGGTGGGGAACTCAATTGCTAGGGATTTGATTTGATCAAGGGTGAATCGTCGGCCGTAGAGGGACGGAGAGGCAAACACGGTGACCCATCTCATGCCAATCAAAATTGCAATTTATTTTCAACCCCAACTCTGCTTCCTCTATTGCTCCCAACAAGCAACCATCATTGGGGAAATCTGTAAAATCTGATAATCGCGGAAGATTCAGATAGGGATTTCATATGAATGGGAGAGTAGAAATCTGCCCATCTGAGTTACAGTGGTCAAAGATTAGGAGAAAGGGGAAATTACAAGGCCTTCTTCTTATACACATCAAAGAATACTAGGGAAAAGATTAGGAGAAAGGGGGAATTACACAATGATTCCCAAATAAATAAAATAAGTAAATGTGACGCAACTGGTACGGATACGGGTACGGTCATTCCGTCGAACTGCTGGTACCATTAAAGGATGTGGAGGACCAGGCATGGGTACAGGTGGTGTGGAGTGCTCACCATTGTCTTCATGCGAGGGACTGTCTCCAGGAGTGGCGGAGGACGTTGCATGGGTTGGGGGATTGACGAGGCTCCCATGCAAAGGGGAGAGCGAGGCATGACCTTCTTCTTTGTGAGGGTCAAGGTCATCAAGGCTGGGCAGTGAGTCCTTGGCCTCCTCGACATGCTCATGCACAAGGGGATCAATGGCAGAAATATCCCCATCAAAGGAAGCATCAAACACCCGTCGACGAGAGTCATCAGGAGAAGTAGTTTTGTTAACACGAAACTACCATTCGGAAGGAAGGGGAACTCGGTATCAACAAAATGAACATCTCAGGACATGTAAATCCTCCGCTCATAGACTCGGTAACCCTTTTGGGAGTGAAGGTTGCCAACGAACACGACATGACGACCTCATTCAGCAAACTTTTCGATGCCATGTTGTGTATCTTTGGCGTAGACGCCCAAAGGTGCGAAGATGAGAATATGTAGGTAACGTCCCAAGTAAGACCTCATAGGGGTCTTGTTGTGCATAACAAATGATAGGAGACGATTGATCAAGTACGTAGCTGTCAAGACACACTCACCACAGAACTTAACCGGTAGCCCCACATGAAATCAGAGAGCTCTGGCCGTATCAAGTAAATGGCGGTGCTTCTGTTCCACGATCCCATTTTGCTGTGGAGTGTGGACACAATAGGTCTGTAGTACCATCCCGTGTTCGGCATAATAATCACAGAGAGTGTTGGTTTGAAACTCCAAACCATTATCTGCATGAATCCGACGTAATTGACGTTGTAAGTTGTAACTGAGTGACAACCATCTGACAGAATGATAGAAGATAACGCTCAATATCATAATTATACTTGAGTAGATAAACCCACGTAGCTCTACTAAAATCATTAACCACAGTAAGAAAATATCGAGAACCATCCAGAGAAGGGGTCTTATAAGTTATAACCACCTCAAATATCCACGTGAATTGAATCAACAACCCTATGTCGTAATAGAACTGGTAACAAAAACTGTGTGAGTTTGTTTAGCCTGCCAAAATGAATCCCAATGGGATATAGACGATGTAATTGTCCAGCAACCTAAAACATCTCGCAATACTGTTGCATTTGTATTCGGGAATATGTAACACGCGTTGCAAAGTGATGTTATCACTAAGTGATGCGGTACCTATACCCTTTACTGGAACACTAGTGCCATTTGGAATACGAACAGAAGAATAATTCTCAGAACAATCCAAATGAGACAACCAACCAGCATCCCTAACAATGTGCTCGTTGCACACAGAATTAATAAGCCAGTCATAGAGTGCAGTTGTGTTACCATCCATGTGAGCAGTGGGATCGGAACTGGTGTACTGAGAAACTGCTTCAATTGTGCAAATTGAGCACTGGTGAGACCCGGAATGGGGCTGTCATCAAAGCTGACCTGCAACCCTTGAGGAAGTGTCACCCTGCGGTTTACGAGCAGCTGGAGGTCGATCTCCTTAGCGACCTTTGCCTTGGGCTGAAGGATAATCGATGAGCTTGAAACACTTCTATGTCCCAATTTACGGCAATGACTACAACGGGGTTTATCATTAGGCTCCTTCTCTTCGCTGGTTTAAAACGCAGCAGAATCGACGACCGAATGACAACTTGCCGTGAGTTGTCGTTGTTGTTCCTTCGTCGCCGCCATGTGATGAGCTTCATCCAGGGAGGGAGTTGGCCGCATGCTGAGGATTTGTGTGCGAACAACTTAAAAAATTCATTTATCCCAAGAAGAAAATAAAAAAGCCTCTCTGTTTCTAGCTTTGCTCGCGTATGCTCAGCGATATCACAAGAACAACCGCTGCAAGTACACTTAGGATTGATGCTTACTACCTTTAGTTCATCCCAGTACGTGCAAAGCTTAGTATAAAATGTACTCACCGATTGCTTTTATTGACGAAGCGAGCTGATCAGTCGACGCAGCTCGTATGCTCGGCCTGTCGAGCTCGTTCCAAACCTTGTTTAAGATAAAGCCAGATTTTTTGCGCCGTCTGCGCTCCCCTAACGCTATTCCACACCTCTTTATTCATTGTGGTCTTGATCTAACCTTTAACGAGGGCATCAACACGATCCCATGCACTGAGCCAACCACCGAGGTCCCGACTGCCGTACGTGGCAGCGAACCATTAACAAACGCAAGTTTGTTTTTGGAAATGAGCGTCTCCATCATATCACTCACCCATTCACCATAATTGAGGTCCGTCAGAAGATCACCACCGAATAGCTGTCCGGGATTCTCTGATGGGTGAGAGAACAACGACGAAGTGAGAGGAATGGCATCGACGCCAGCAACATGATCTTTGGCAGAACTTTTCTCGCCGCCCATGATTATAGTAAAATGTCATAATAGATCGATTAGAGATCTGATACCATGTAAAATATGATAATCGCGAAAGATAAACAAGACAAAGATTTACGTGGTTTCCCCGTCAATTGACGGGACTAGTCCACGGTGAGGGTGACCTCAGATAGGGTTTTCACTATGAATGGGAGAATAGAAATCTGCTCATCTGAGGTACAGTGGCCGGCCATACAAGGCCTTCTTCCTATACCCATCGATAAAATGCTAGGGCAAAGATTAGGAGAAAGGAGAAATTACACAATGATCCCCAAATAAATAAAATAAGTAATTGTGACGCAAAATACACGTCAACAAAATCATTGCCGCTCACTAAGAGAATCGATCCGCTCAAGAAAAATCCCCTAATATTCACTTCAACCCCTAATTTATAATGCCGGGTGGGACGATGCTGGAGAATTTTTTTCCATTGAGGTTGAGAATCTTATGCTTCTTGTAGTTGACTATTTTGGAGGGGATTTGGTCAGCGAAGTGGTTGTTGGGAAGGGAGTTCTCCTTGAGCTCTGACGATGACCTCCCCAACTCCCGACTAGAAACACCAAAAACTGCCACCACCGCAGTTCCAATGTGATTTCTCTGGCTCGGAATCGATAGAGTGCTTCTTCGATCTACTAGATCTAGGTGGCGATGTAGCGGCGAAGGCTTCCCCAATTATGGAGTTTGTAGGGGGAGAAATATGTGGTTGTGTTGGAGCTTTGACAAGCTCGTCGTCATCACCTTCGCCGTTGGCATCATTAGCCACAGTTGTCTCCGCCTCCGTCGTCATCAGTCATCGCCGCCATGGCCACCTCCGTCCGCGGATAGTCGAGAGAAAAAGGAGAAAGGAGGTGAAGAAAACATAAATTTTTTTAAAATAGTATTAATTTTAATTTAAAAATAAAAATGTGATATGGCAACCGATGTGGTGCATATGTGGCAGCCATCTATGTACCATAAAACTAATAGTCAACATTTTATGGTTGACCGTCTGGTTAGCTGTTAACTATAACGGTCAACGAAATCGCCAGGACATAAATGACATACAACTATAAATGGTTGGGACATAAATGAAATATTGAATAGTTCGGGACACAAGTTACACTTTTCTGATAGTTAGGGTTTCCTAGCGGTATTTGTCCTAAAAAATAGTAGCGAGGCAAGTTTGATAAAATGGCATAGTTAGGGGCATATTATAGCTATAACCCCTACACAATTGGTTGATGCAATAATATTTTTTTTATGCAAATACTACACTATTTCACGGGAGACACATTGGCAAGTGTTTAAATTGATATAATCTTACTAATTGTGAGTAACTTATTATAAATGTTGATTAAATACTTTAATGAGTAGTTGGAGAATTGCTTTTGCGGGTTTAATTAACTCACAACCCAACTGCACCTATCCATCACGCACCCAACTCAACCTCAAGAAGAATGTGGGCAGACAACTAGTCACAATTTCATCAACTCGGTAATATGCGGGTGAGTAAATTTGAGTCCAAAATCCGCCTGTTGCTGACCCCTACACACCCGTATTAACGAAATGCACCCACCTGAATTGCAAATCACCATGGAAAGTTAACCGGCGAGGTTCTATGAAGAATGCATTTTCATGGAGACAATTTAATACAATCTTTTACCGAATCTAATATCCGATATACTTATCTATTCACAACACCACTTCTAACTTAATTGTGGGAGGACTAATGGGCCTCCAAGGCACTTGAACAAATTCTTGAAAGTGGTTCATGATGACGTTTGGCTGGCCGGTCGAGGTTTGATCCACTGGAAGTAACATGGTTTCACCAGATTGAATCGAGTCATTGATGTTTCCATTCGGCTTTGGTTCTTGAAATTTGGGAAATTTCGGCTTTAGCCCGGTTCTATATGTGGGTCCGGATCCCATTAGTAACTATCAGGCGAGTAACTCCATGCATAAATTCTATAAATTTCCTTCTCTTAATTTTTAATGGACGATTTCTCACACGTTTAAACTCGGAATTTCATTTTTTTTCACAGTTAGATCAGATTAATTGTGCTCTTCAAAATGATATCTACTTTGATATTTTTTGGAAGAAAAACAATTTGCCAGTTATTACCAGTCTATGTCATATGGTATTGACTAGCATTAAATAACATCATACCATATGGTATGAAAAGTACCACCCCATAACAGGGTGGTATAGTATGGTATGGAGTTGGTAACGAGAGGTATGAAAATTTTCACCCAGAAAATTTTGAAATTCAATAGATCATGATTAAATTGTTCTTTCTGTGTAAAAATTTCCAAAAACGACTAAACAACGAAGGAGATACCATATGGTATGTAGTTGGTAACGAGAGGTATGAAATTTTTTTGTTCTAAAAAAATATTTAAAATGGATATCCTTTTGTAGAGCACAACGAACTCGTTCCATCTGTAAAAAAAAATTGAAATCCGAGTTAGAATGAAGAAGATATGATCATCCAATCAAGAAAACTAGGGAAAATAAATTTTATTAATTCTCAACCTTTAGATTTGCAGCCACTTAAAAGAAGGGTCCAGATTTAGTTACTCATAGTTACTCACCCTATCTTGAGCCTGTATATGTAACCTAATAAATGGTCCGAATCTTGACTAGAATTATTATATTCTCATTATAGAAAGGACAGCTAGTAAGTCAACTTGCATGAGTCTTAAATTCTGAAGGCCTCTACACAGACACACTAGTTTGACCTCTTATAAATTTGGATTTTTTCCCGAAGTACAAAAGTTGTTAAAAGGAATTCTCACAATACTATACTAAAAATAAAAATTCCTAAAACACACTAGTTTTTGCTTGATAGCCGCTGTTAGCACCGATTTACTAACAGATTGTTGTAGAGAAGGGCGATGTGTATAAGTCGCTGAAGGGCTACGCGATCGATTTAGCTTTATAGCTTTGTGAGAGACTTCGTTCCACTCTGCCGCCGACCGATCTCACAAAGCCCCCAAACGCAATCCATTCTTCCAAAGTTCCCTCCGCCAATCTATTCTCACATCCTCCATTCATTTCATCAAAACACCCATCAAAGCAAAGGAAACAAAATCGGAGTTGCAGAAGAAGAATCATGGAATCCACAAGCAGCGCTCTGCAACACCAAAACCTAACCCTTCCAATGCACCGCCGTCTTCATCATCATCGACCCAATCTCCCTCATTATCTCTCGAAAATCCTCCTTACTCAAATACTTACCCTTTAAATTTTTTAGTTGTCTTGTCGTTTGTGCTGGTCCATCAATAGGATTGAGCACATTTCAGGCATTGTTTGATGAAAGTTTTTCTAGGTTGGAAAATTTTATATGTTCAATTTTTACGACGTTTACATATCGTTTGGAATAAAATGAATTTATATATAGAGTTCATTGTCAAATGAATTCCTATATTTGATGTTGAGATCAAGTTAGGAGATTGCCAAATCATAAATCAAGGGGGAGCAGATCAATCAATCAAGATCACATTCGCCAGCTGCCCAACTTACCTTTCCTGCATCAAAATTCAAACTACAACGGCTCCTCGAAGAACTATATAAAGAAGAACAGGGCAAAGGCTCGGTACTGAAGCAAACAGGGATTCCTTTGTGGCAAAGGACAAGGGATTGGGTTTGGGAATCAGTGGCTTTGAATCAAGCTGAGGAATAGGTTCAGCTAGATCAAAGGGTGTATAGAATTCCTGCGAGAATTCTGGTCCAGCTTTGTGACATTCTGATTTTCTCACCAGAGTCTGTATTTCCTTTGTTTTGATTGTTCGTTGCTTGCGTCATATAAAGAAAATCAAAGTTTCTCTCAGGATAGTGGTAATATCCTAGGACGAGGAGTAGCCCTGTGGTGAACCTCGTTAAAAACTCGCTGTGTACTTTACTTTCTGCTTCTCTCTTCTTCCTCCCTTCACACTCTGTTCTGCATTCCTCTGGCTCGACAGAGCTCTGGCTTGGTGAAGAAGACGATCGACTCAGTTCCTTCTTCTCTGAGCCTGGGCCGCGACTAGATCAGGTTCTGGATAAATCTTTATGATCCTTGGGCTCGATTTAGTGAAGCCCACTCGACCAAAGTCCTGTCCATTAACTTAAGCAAGTTGGGGTTCTGACCGATAGGTTCCAACCGGTTTGGTTACTAAAATTGACTCTCAAGTCAAAATCCCTAATTGTCTGTTCATTTCCTTCAATCGACATTTTCGTTTTCTTGTTCACCATATAATTCTCTGATTACAAGTGGTATCAGAGCAGGTCCTTGATCGGAGCTTGCTACTGCCAAGGGAAGATCCAGCGTAATGGCCTCCACTAATTTCGGTCATGCTTCGTACAATCATCCACCGGTCTTCACGGGATCAAACTACACCGCCTGGAAAAAGAGAATGAAGACTTTTCTCTGTGGAGTTGACGAAGAGCTGTGGATCGTTGTGCGCTATGGACCTCTTGAGATGGATGCTGATCAACAAAACTTCTGGTCAGCGGCTCAAAAGAAGAGTGCTCAGCTAAATCAAAGGGCGATGCACATCCTGCAAACGGCCATGTCACTCGAAGAGGCAGATAAGGTGGAACATTGCAAAACTGCTTAAGGGATCTGGAGCTCGTTGGAAAGCACCTACGAAGGTTCATCAAATATCAAGGAAACCAGAATCGATCTTCTGGTCCACGAGTATGAATGTTTCGACATGGCTCCAGGTGAAGGAATTCATGAAATGTATTCTCGGTTTACTCTTTTGATTAACAAATTGAAAGGATTAGGAAAAACTTATCTTTCTAAAGACCTCAATAGAAAAATCCTAAGATCCCTTCCCAAGGAATGGCTTCCCAAGAGGACAGCCATAGAAGAAGCCCGAAATTTGAACACCTTGTCTATAGATGAACTAGTTGGATCCATGCTAAGTCATGAACATGTTCTTAAACAAGTAAATCAAGATGATGAGGAACGAAAAAAATCCCTAGCATTTAAGTCTCAGGTAGTTGAGTATGAATCTGATTCTGAATTAGGAGAAGAGTTTGATAGGAAATTTGCTCTAGTCAGTAACAAATTTCATAGAATGCTAAAATACAAACAAGAGCAAAAACAAAAAGGCAGTGATAGAAATTCTTTTAATCGGTCTAACCCTTTTGACAAAGTCAAAAGCTTTCTACAAAATAGGCTGCGTGTTCCGCAGACCAGACCTTTTGAATCAGGTAGTCAAGAAAAAGAAACTCAAGACTGCTACAAGTGTGGAAGGCCAGGTCATATCAGAGCTAACTGCCCACTCACCTTAAAGGCAAAAGAAAGAGCAATGAAGGCCTCCACTTGGAGTGACTATGAATTAGAGGAAGATGAAGATCAAGGGGACGAAGAAGCCTTCATGGCCTTCAGTGAACTGCATGATTCAGAATTGGACTTCAAGACAGGTCAGAATTTTTCTCCCTCTGCTGCTGATTCAAAATGGTACCTTGACAGTGGATGTTCTCATCACATGTCTGGTAAGAAATATCTCTTCAGCTCTTTAACCATGAAACGTGGAGGAAAAGTTACCTTTGGGGATGATAGTCAGGGTGAAATATAATCTGTGATAAATAATGTTCTTCTGGTAGATGGATTAAAACATAATATTCTTTCTATAAGCCAACTCTGCAGCAATGGAAATCGAGTTATATTTGAAAATGATAAATGCTCTGTGGAACAGATTAATGGAAATAAGATCATTTTGATAGGAAAAAGAGTCAACAACATGTATGTTGTTGACTTGACTAACTCAAGCATGCTTAATGCTAAATGCCTTCAAGTTTCTTCTCAATCATCAGAATTCCTGTGGCATAAAAGACTAGGACACATTAGTTTGTCTAAGTTGTCTACTCTATGTAAATTTAATTTAGCTAGAGGGTTACCTAAGCTAAAAGACAAAGCAGAATTCTTCTGTAATGCATGTGCTGCTGGAAAACACAACAGAAAAAGTTTTAAACCAAAACCTGATATCACTACCACTGAAACTTTCGAATTAATTCACATGGACTTGTTTGGTCCATGTAATGTAACTAGCATAGGAGGTAAAAACTATGTATTTGTCCTGGTTGATGACCACTCTGATAATACCTGGGTATTCTTCTTAGCTCACAAGGATGAGACTTTTGAGAAATTTCGTTCAGTTGTCACTAGACATAAACAATCCTTGAAAAACATAAGAAGTGACAATGGGGGAGAATTCATTTCTGATGAATTTGCTGATTTTTGTGACAAGATTGGAATTGTCCATACCTTTTCTGCTCCTCGCTCACCTCAACAGAATGGGGTTGTTGAGCATAAAAATAGAACTCTCATTGAATGTGCGAGAACAATGCTCTTAGATTATAATCTACCTAAATTCTTTTGGGCTGAATCAGTTAATACTGCTTGCTATGTTATAAATCGAGTTCTGATTAGAAAACAGTTAAACAAAACTCCCTATGAAATTCTAAAAGGCAAAACTCCTAAGATATCTTACTTCCACCCATTTGGATGTCCCTGTTACACTCTAAATACAAGAGATACTCTCGGCAAGTTTGATGCTAAATATGATCCTGCCACCTTTCTTGGTTATTCAACTAAAGGACAAGCATATAGAGTGTACAATAAACGAACAAGAAAAGTAGAAGAATTAGTTCATGTCATATTCAATGAAACTGTATCAGCTGTTTCAGATAATTCTATGACTCTTGATTTAAGTGAACTCACCTCCTCTTGTCAAGATTCATGTAGTAAGCAGGTTAATCCAGAGAAGTCTCAGGAGATAGAATCTCAAGAAAAGACCTCTGAAGACACTGAAACTGCAGCTGATGTACCAAAAGTCCCCCCCCCCTCATATTCAGAAGAGACATCCCGAGAGCCAAGTCATTGGTAAAATTAGTGATGGTCTTCAACTAGAGGTAAGTACACCCCTGGCCAGTATGCTTTTGTATCTCAATTTGAACCAAAAAACTAGAAAGAAGCTATACAAGATGAAGAATGGGGTCTATCTATGGTAGAAGAATTAAATCAATTTGAGCACTTACACGTTTGGGACTTGGTCCCTAGACCTGAAAATGTTACTGTTATTGGTACTAAATAGATCTATTGTAATAAATCTGATGAGGATAATGTAGTGATTAGAAATAAATCAAGATTAGTTGCTCAGGGCTACCTTCAAGAAGAAGGTGTGGACTTTGATGAAACATTTGCTCCTGTAGCAAGGCTTGAATCCATTAGGCTTCTGTGTGCTTTTGCCAGTTTTATGGGATTTCCCTTGTATCAAATGGATGTGAAAAGCGCATTCCTAAATGGTTTGATACATGAGGAAGTCTATGTAGCTCAGCCTCCTGGATTCATTGATTTTGAACATCCTGACCATGTTTATAAGTTAAACAAAGCTCTGTATGGTCTCAAACAGGCTCCTAGAGTATGGTTTGAACGTCTTTCTTCTTTTCTCATTGAAAAATCATTTATTCAAGGAAGTATAGATAAGACTCTTTTCATAAAACATGTGTCTAGTCATATTCTTATTGTTCAAGTCTACGTAGATGACATAGTTTTTAGCTCTAGTGACCCTAAACTGTGCACTAAGGGATGAGCATGATGGGAGCGTTAAAATTTTTCCTTGGTCTGCAAGTTAAACAAAGCTCATCTGGTATCTTTATTAACCAATCAAAATACCTCCAGAAAATGCTTCTAAAATTCAACATGAACTCAATTAATTCTAGCCCTACTCCCATGGCAACCAATCTTAAACTTGACAAAGATCCTTCTGGGAAATCAGTTGATGAAAAGAAATATCGAGGAATGATAGGATCTTTGCTATATTTAACTGCTAGTAGACCAGACATCCAACACAGTGTGTGTCTTTGTGCTAGGTTTCAGTCAGCCCCTAAAGAAAGCCATCTTAGTGCTGTAAAACGAATATTTAGGTATCTAAAAGGAACCCCTGAGGTAGGATTGTGGTATCCTCATCATGACAGCTTCAATTTACTAGGATATAGTGACTCTGACTTTGCTGGAAGTCTATCTGATAGGAAAAGCACCACAGGGACTTGCCAATTTGTAGGAACATCATTAGTTTCTTGGTCTTGTAAAAAACAAGGAGCAGTGGCTCTCTCCATTGCTGAAGCTGAGTACATTGCAGCAGGGAGCTTCTGTACTCAACTTATATGGCTCAAAAATCAACTTCTGGACTATAAAAACAATACCTCAACTATTCCATTATTCTGTGACAACACTAGTGCCATATGTATGTCCAAAAACCCTGTTCAACACTCCAGAACTAAGCACATAGAAGTAAAGTTTCACTTTATTAGGGAATTAGTCGAGCAGCAATTAATACAATTAAATCATATACCAACTGAGTTCCAACTGGCCGATCTATTTACTAAACCATTAAATGCAGATCGATTCACTTTCCTTTGCTATGAACTAGGGCTTCGATCTCCAGAGAATCTGGAGAATCTGTTCTGATTGTCTGATCCTCTTTCTTTACTTTTCTGTTTGTGCTTTCCTTTCGTGTTTCTTCCTTTTCTTCGCGTTACGGTATGCTATTTATAGGTCAGTATATTTGTCTCTAGTCATTCATCGGTTTCTTTTGAGTCTTAGTTAGCTGGTCTAGGTTCCTTCTCAATGGTGTTCGAGTTCTCCATCACCTACACAGGTACTCTGTTCCATGACCCTATCCCTGCCAATGCCCATAGGCATGCTACCTCTTATGCTCGTCGCCCTATCATTCCCACCTATCAGATTCCTTATGCTGGTCTAGCTGAGTATGGTCTTGATTTCACTCAACTCATTCACAATCTAGCTTGGGATTTTCTTATTGATGAAACCCTGGAACATGTATGTCCTGAGGCAGTTCGTCTTTTTTACTCAAATTTTCGTTCCTTTGGCATAGATACTCGAACTTTTACAATCCTGGTTTATGGTCATCTTGTTACTATCCCCATTGAGGATCTTAGGCGTCTGCTTTCCATTCGTCAAGTTGGTGAAATTTTAGCTCATGAGTCCGAGCTTTTGCTGTTTAATTTCAATATCGAGCATGAGTTCGTACAGCTGACTGGTCACGCTCGTGATGCTCTGCTCACCCTTCCAACCACCTTCCTGCTCCCTGCTATCCGAACCTTCCATTTTTTCCTCACTCATCGATTCCTTCCTAGGACTGTCCTTCTGGATCGTGTCACACCTCTGGATCTCTGGGTCATTCAGCATTCTGTGAACAATGTACCTCTCGATTACTCTCATCTACTGTTTGGACATCTGCACATGTTCCAATATTTTGAATACCATGCTCATCTCCCTTTTGGCCCTCTGCTTACGCGTCTTATCACTCGTCTTGAAATTTCCCTTGACCCTTTTCGCTCCACCACTCCCTCCGTTTTCCTTACTGCTGATAATGTCTTGGACGAGATTGCCGTTGCCATTGAGGGGGAGGATGATTCAGACTCAGACTCTAAAGAACCAGAGGAGGAACATGCAGAAGAAGAAGAACCAAATCAGGATATAGAAGTTCATTGGATTAGCAGCAGCAGCAGTAGCGGTAGCAGCAGTGACAATGATGATGATTCAGGAACACCTCTGCTGAGTGATGTGTTAGCTGATCTTCAGGATACTTATGGATCTGATTCTCATGAATCAGATTAACTCTTCATTAACCCTTCCTGTTGATGCTCTTTATTTGGTTTTTGGTTTGCTGGACGTGTCTTCTTCCAGCTGATTGTTTAAACTAGATTTGCTGGTTCAGTTTTCAGTTTAAGTTCGCACTCTTGAATGCCTGCTGGATATTTTCAAACTTTGCTGAATTGTGGTTGAATGAGTAGAACTGGTTAGATATTGTTTTTGCGTGGAATAGTGGTTCCTATTTTGCAGGGTTCAAGCGGACAATCGGAAATCTCCAACTTAGGGGGAGATTGTTGAGATCAAGTTAGGAGATCTCCAAATCATAAATCAAGGGGGAGCAGATCAATCAATCAAGATCACATTCGCCAGCTGCCCAACTTACCTTTCCTGCAACAAAATTCAAACTACAACGGCTCCTCGAAGAACTGTATAAAGAAGAACAGGGCAAAGGCTCGGTACTGAAGCAAACAGGGATTCCTTTGTGGCAAAGGACAAGGGATTGGGTTTGGGAATCAATGGCTTTGAATCAAGTTGAGGAATAGGTTCAGCTTGATCAAAGGGTGTATAGAATTACTGCGAGAATTCTGGTCCAGCTTTGTGACATTTTGATTTTCTCACCAGAGTCTGTATTTCCTTTGTTTTGATTGTTCGTTGCTTGCGTCATATAAAGAAAATCAAAGTGTCTCTCAGGATAGTGGTACTATCCTGGGACGAGGAGTAGCCCTGTGGTGAACCTCGTTAAAAACTCGCTGTGTACTTTACTTTCTGCTTCCCTCTTCTTCCTCCCTTCACACTCTGTTCTGCATTCCTCTGGCTCGATAGAGCTCTGGCTTGGTGAAGAAGACGATCGACTCAGTTCCTTCTTCTCTGAGCCTGGGCCGCGACTAGATAAGGTTCTGGATCAATCTTTATGATCCTTGGGCTCGATTTAGTGAAGCCCACTTGACCAAAGTCCTGTCCATTAACTTAAGCGAGTTGGGGTTCTGACCGATAGGTTCCAACCGGTTTGGTTACTAAAATGGACTCTCAAGTCAAAATCCCTAATTGCCTGTTCATTTCCTTCAATCGACATTTTCGTTTTCTCCTTCACCATATCATTCTCTGATTACATTTGAAATGTCATTTAAATTTATAGAAATAAGTTGAATTGAATTTTTGATATCGCATTTGAAATTCGTCCAAAGTTGAATTTCTGATATCACATCATCATATATACCACTTACCAATTTTCGGCAGAAACAACAATGAAAACTGGGTCAAGCTAGTCGGTCCGACTAGTAAAACCGGTGATTAGAGATCAGTCCGGCTCGAATATTTTTGCTAACCACCAATCTAGAAACGACCGATCCAATCAGTGCCGAAGGCAGGCCCTTTGGGCCTTGTCCCGAGACAGGGCTTAGGATAGGGTCAGTAACCAATGAGTAACTAAATCTGGACCTTTAGATTTAAGTGGGTACAGACAATTCAGATCTAAGGGTTGTCAATTAAAGGCATTTTATTTTCCCAAGTTTTTTTAATTGGCTCTTATCTTCTTCGTTCTAACTCGAATTTCAATTTTTTTTTTGCATGGATGGAACGAGTTCGTTGTGCTCTACAAAATGAGATCAATTTTCAATATATTTCAAGAAACTTTTTTTTTACCAACTACATACCATATGGTAACTTCTTCGTTTTTAAGTCGTTTTTGAAAACGTTTGCTCAGAAGGAACGAGTTCATCATTATCTATTGGATCTATAAATTTCTGGGTGAAAAAAATAATGGATAAAAAATTACCATACTTTACCACTATGGTATGTGATTGGTAACTTGTAGTAAACAATGATGAAAGTCGTGAATGACAGTTAATATACTCCTACTATCATGTATTCAGCCTTCTTACCATATTGGTATGTTCATACCATCATAGTACGCTTTCTTACCATATGGTATTAAATTGGAGCATACTATCATTTTGAAGAGCATATTTAATCTGATTTATCTGTGCAAAAAAAATTAAATTTTGACTTAAATCGAGAGAGAAATCGTCCGTTAAGGATTAAAAGGGAAAAGATAAAAGACTTTCCAGGAGAAAGAGACTATTGATGTGATGCTGATGTGGACAGGTTACTCATGGTTACCTGATCCGCTCCCCCGATAAATCAGATAGGTAGTATTAGATTATATATTTATACGCCATATATATTTATATTTATATTGGTGATGGAACACAACATCTATAGGTAGTATTAGAGTATTTTGTCACTACAACACAACTCATTGTTTGTTGAAAAGTTGACATAAAATTAATTTATTATACTATAAAAAAATTCCAATTGCAACAAAGACATAATTAGATCTCTTTTTTCCTTATGCCTATTCGATTTTTCCCCCTACAACCCTGAAATTGTCTAGCGACAACGACAATTTCACTAGTTTTGATTCTACCAATTACAACTACAAGTGTAAAAAGAGCATTTTCAATTTTGTGTTATATTAAGAACAAGTTTCCAAGTCGATTTGGCGAATGCTTATTAGCGAGTTACACTGAAAGAGACTTATTTAATAGTGTATACAACGAGTATTTTTGCGTTTCTTTCACAATATGAAATCCCTTCGTCGTTATTTCTGAAAACTATGATTGTATAGTCGGTTATTTTTAATCTATAAAAGAATTATTTTGATATAATTAATTTTAATTATTTATTATTAAATAGTTCTTAATTAAATAGTTATATATTTAAGTTATAAAAAGAGGATATGGGTGGTTTAAAATGCTACCTCCGCCACTGGATCCAATATCGGTTTGAACGATTATCCACACAAATCAAACTTGCCACATGACCACAATCAAATGGCCAAATTAAAAAAAAAATCAAGATATGAGAGAAATCGAAACAAAAAGTTTCATAATTTTTATTTCACTCTCCTCTCTCCATGTCCTTGAATGACCCGTCCCTCCGCCCCAGGAATTCTAGGAACTCGCACATCTCCCCGACGGTAAGAATTTTGACGACTATGTTGACGGCTCCTCCCTCTTTCCGCTCGATAAAAAATAGAGGGATTGGCAAGTGAAGTGGATCTGTTTGTTTCTATTTTCAGTCTTGGAGTTAAGGTTGGGGCAAACAGAGGGAGAGGAAAAGGAGAGAGAGAGATCGTGGGAGAGAGACGAGACATCGACAGTGAGAGAGAGACAAGGCGAGGGAGAAAATAGAGGGTTCGGCCAAGGGAAAGGTTGTTGTTTGATTTGATTTTACCGGTTTTTCTGTTTTAATGATTATGATTTTTATGAAATTTTGAATGATTTAGTGGTTTGGTTGATATATGGTACAAAAAATCATTACAGCTCCTTCACTAATCACTATCATTTAAATCACTACAAAATATCTATAATATTATAAAATGTGTATAATTTTTACAATTTCTTGTTAATTAGGTATTGGTTCATTAACGATTGTTCAATGGTTTAATACCGATCAATAATGAGTGAGAGGCTGAGAGCTCTTCACGGACTGATGTGGTACTATTTTTGGTTTCAAATTGCTATAATATCAAATATCAATTTGTGTTGGTCGATTGATTTCTTCAATGTAGTGTTGACATCTAACTCGTACGAGCTAGCGGCAGATATGAACAGCCATATTTTAAACGATGTTTTTCAGTTTCCACTTTAGGCCAAATTTTGAGGTTAATTGAAAGGAATGTCGACGGGAAAAATACAATTTCCCGAAAGAGTATTTCGACAATGAACAACGTGAAGAACACTCTTTGGAGTCGAATAAGCGATGAAATGATGAATGATTTTTGAGTAGAATATATTGAGAGTGACATTCTTGATAGTTTGGATGATGAATGTATTCCACAAAATTTTCATTATACAAGAACCCGTTATGAGTCATCATAGAAAATTAATAGTCATTTTAATTTTTCAAAGTTGGACCCCCCTTGCGTTAAATCCTGGCTATGCCACTGCCCTTAGGGATCAAGTGGCCCAACTCCTCACAGAGTAGTTTGGCATGGGAGTAAGACTTGCCATGCTACCTGTATACCGGAAGCCATATCCCGAATGGGTAGATAGGCTTCACCCATTTTTAAGGGGATTCAGAGTTCCTGTGTTTGCCACATTCACAGGGACTGGAGATTAGTCTACTGTAGAGCAGGTTGGACGTTTCACTGTCCAATGGGGCGATGTAGGAGATTTTGTTAAGTTAAGACTGTTCGACAACTCGTTTACACGACATGCTTTTGCTTGGTACGTCAACTTGCCATCTAACTCCATCCATACTTGGCAACAAATGGAGCAAGTATTCCATGCTCAATTTCATAGATTTGAGTTTGAGGTGTCCATGGCTGACTTGGCACGAATACGCCAACAGCCAGGGGAATCCGTAGAGCATTTCTTGACTAACTTCAAGAATCCTCGTAACTGTTGCTTTTTTAATTTGACAGAGAAGGAATTCGTCAAGCTGGCACAAGGAGGCATGAGTTTTGAAGTAAGGAAGAAATTCCAAGATAGGGAGTTCTCTGACTTGTTTGTACTCATGTCTTGTGCCGTGAGGTATGAGTCTCTTCAACATGAGGAAGAGAATTGTAGGAGTGCCTCGAGGGGATTATACTTCCCAAACATAGACTATACCATCAATCATGTTGGCCACGCGGCCAATGAGGTTGAGGTAGACTTGGCTGAGATAACTTTAGGGAAGCCATACGTCTGTGTTTCCTTGTATAAATTTGAAGATGCACCACAAGGGGGAAACCCAATCGTGCGCCCATTCAGCCGAGGAAGTACTCCTTTGATGTCTCGAAGGCAGACTTGATTTTTGACCAACTCTAAAAGGATGGTCAAGTCAAGTTGACTGGGGGGCATGTCTTTCCCTCGCCCGAGAAGTTGAAAGGGAAGAAGTATTGTAAGTAGCATAATAGCATGTCACATGCCACTGATGCTTGGCGTCAACATGGTCAACCCAGACTTCTCCAAAGTCAAGTTGCCACGCTTCAAGCTGGTTTTGGATACAACGTCGCCTCGAAGGAGCCCCAACGTGGTTTTCGAGCAAGGGAGTTCTCCGGGTACCAAGGAGGTCAGCTTGGCTGCAATGATGACTGATGAAGTTGACAAGTTGTGCGCCTAGTGCAAGAAGAGTCTCAAACTCAACGAAGTGATGCCGAGGTCATCGATTCATCAAAGAAATGGTTTTCCCAACAGGCCAAGGCCAAGGTATGCGTCGTATGAGAGATAAGTGGAAGGAGTGAGACACCCAGCTTGGGGGCAACCGAGACAATGGGAGGCCCATACTCTTTTCCAAAAGAGGAGAACATTCAAGATGCCAAATGTTCCACATGGTGGATGGAACACATATAATTCTCGTTGTCAGCAACCAGTAGCAGTGGCTAAGATGTCAAGGACCCAAAGAAGAAGGTTTCTTCGTAAGAATGCCCAAGCACATCAAGGCCAATTCCCAATAGCTCGTGGCAACATACTTGATGTGACACAATGGAGGCGAGAAGGTAGTCTTCAACCAAATCTCAAGGTGGACAACTCCATGACCACATGGCTCAAAGTGAGCGTGATTGACAAAGGCAAATAGGTCCCAACTCAGAGTGACGACAATGACCAAAAAGGGGTTGAAGACAATTTCGAAGAAGAAGAAGGCGAGTATGATGGTGCTTTAGACGACTATGTTGATGATGATATGCTTAAAGATAATCTTCTCAACTCCAATTTCAGTACGAGTCAAGAAAGGCGGAGGAAAAATCATGGTAGTCCCGACATGACGAGTAAGGTGGTCAAGGCAGAGGAGCACGAGACACCATGCAAGGCCACCAAGACAGACATGTCGACCATGTACAATCCACGAGTAAGATGAAAATTTAAAAACCAATATATAGAGAGTCATCTCCCGTGGAGGAAAAGAGTCATTTTGTTTTTGGATGACATGTCTGGTTTGATCCATTGACTTGGCAATGGGTGTACACCTTTGGTACATTAATTGTTGCAAAAGGACATGGAGAGCGGTGACATCTGTCACTTCTCGCCTTATAAAATAAATAAATTTATATAATGTACTTATTATATATTATATATAGAAAAAAATTGTAGCCAACCATGATTAGCCACGTCCGAGGAAGAAGGGGAGCAGTTCTTTTTGGAAGTTACTCTCAGAGTGTTTTTCTACGATGGTTACAATTTCAAGGATATAAATAGGTGGAGTTGTGAGAGGAAGGGTTCGTAAAAATCACCACTCGACACCACTTGTCAAGTTTTTATCAATTCTGTCTTTTCTCTGCAATTTTTATCAGTAGTCGTAGATATGGAGCTCTCTCAGAACATCCATAGGAGTAGGAGTAACTTAATGTAGATGTCTGTCTCGGGAGTCGTGTAAACATCGAACACCCTCGTTCGAACTTTGTTTGAAGAGGTGTGGACCGTGATTAGTAATCGTTGTTCAAAGAAGTCAAGGTGTATTCAATTCTTATTCAACGCAAGTTTTCTCGCCGAAGAACATTACGTTTACGACCGAACTAAAGACAAAAATTCACCAAATTTCAATACCAAAGCCGAATGGAAACATCAATCATTCGATTCAATCTGTTGAAGCCATGGTACTTCTAGTGGATCAAACCTCAAACGGCCAGCCTAATTAACGTCAATCATGAACCACTTTCAAGAGTTTGTGCATATATATAAATATATAAATAAATTCCTGTGTTTGAAATGTCAATATTCAAATTTTTAGAGAACAACTTAATTGAATTCCCGATATCAAATTTGGAATTTGTTCACAGTTGAATTAAATTAAAAGATTCCAACTATACTCTTATCAATTTCGGCAAAACCAACAATGAAAACTGGCTCAAGCCGGTTGGTCGGTCCGACTGATAAAACCAGTGACCAGAGGCCAGCCGGGCTCGCATACCTTTGCTAACCCGCCAATCCAGAACCGGTCGATCCAATGTCGGTTCGAATGATTATCCGCACAAATCGATTGACCAGCCTGACAATCAAATCTTCAAATTAGAAGAAAAAAAAGTTCAAGATCTGAACCGGAGAAATCAAAACGGAGAAATTCAATGCAGGAACTCCACGAACCCACATCTCCCTGCCGGTAAGAATTTCGACGTCTATGTTGAGGACTCCTCCCTCTTTCCTGTCGAAAAAACAAAAAAAATAGAGGGATTGGCAAGTGAAGAGGATCTGTTTGTTTCTATTTTCAGTAATGGAGTTGGGTTGGGGGAAACAAAGGGAGAGGATTAGAGGAATGAGAGAGAGAGAGAGATCGTGAGACAGCGACAGTGAGAGAGAGACAAGGCGAGGGAGAAAAGAGAGGGTTTGGACAAGGGAAGGGTTGTTGTATGATTTTAGGGTTTTTCCTTTTTTCATGATTAAGATTTTTAAACCATATTTTTCATTTTCCACTCCAGACCAAATTTTGAGATTAATTGAAGGAATGTCGACGGTCCAAAAGAATCAACTCATCCGAGTCATTTCCAGTTCACCACTCATCTCCAATTCCCCATTCCTGCCGGCAAGGGCATTGGGCCGGCCCGGGGCAGAGAAGAAGGCTGGACCAGCCAGCTCGGCTGCTAGTGGGAAAATGAACACGGGCCGAGGCCTCTGGGCACGCTCTCGACGCTGGCTAGCTAGGGTTAGCGCGTAGTAATGAAGGGTCAAGACTGTGAATAAGTACTAATTAATCAGGATTCACGAATCATCATTTATTTAATAATAGTTTATTGAACAACAAGAGTACACAGTACAGCATGTCATCCGTCGTCGTTCACTGAACAACATTCAGATCAGAAGCATGTCTTACGCATGCATGCATGCATGCATGTATTATCACGAGCATGCTCATCGTCGAGACGGATATTACAGAGTACCATCGATCTTAAGCAAGCACGCATGCATGCGGCAGGGCACTAATCATTGATTAATTATGAGCTTACTCCACACTAGTTACCGTTATTGGTGACGTTTCACCTTTTCCCCCACAATGTTTGAATACTTTAGTTCATCTATTAACTAATGATATGCCTAATAGTACTTCAATAGTAGTAAAATATATGAAATTAATTGTTTTAAAAACAAATAAATGTTTAAATAATCAATTTAATAGATTAAATACGAATGTTCAATGTGTTATATTGATTTTATACGTGTTAGTACGAGAACAATCAGACAAATGGAGAAAGAAGAAATGATTTGACATTCTAGGGATAAAAAAGAGGATTTATATAAATGATTTCATTCAAATTAGTAAAGAATGCAAAGTAGTATGAAAATGGAAGCTTTAAACGCATAAAATATGTACTTTCATAAATACGCGTATTAAGTGGGGTATCTACTGATTATGGTCGTGAGGACTTGAAATGTGGCCTCAGGGACAAATCTGCTTTGGTATCATATCATGAAAATAGCTGGTCTCAATAACCCAAGTTGTTAAAAAATATCTATGTATGGTACTTAATCACTTCCTTACATACTGAAGTAAACATGAGTGTACCTGCCCCTGGGCATGGATCGACAATTTCTGAAGACCGCGCTACCGGTAGCCCCAAATTTCATGACACAGATCACTGAAGAGGTTCGAAACTCGGCTTCTATTTGGCAAATAACACGTATCGAACTAGTTTCAGTTTATCCCAATAACTCGAACGGTTTACCGTCGGCGAATATTCGTCATTCCAAATATCTCAAAGGGGGGAATTGAGAGCATGTAAAACAAGCTAGTTTTCAGTGTGTGGCTCCGGAATATGTGAATTTCTGTAACCTCATCCCCCAACCTCTCTATAAAAAGAGGCCTTCAGCTCTCCCAAAATGCACCACCCCAAACAAGCTAAGCTAGAGCCCTAGCGAGGCAACAAGCCCTACCCTTTCCACCATGGCTTTCAGAGTACTTGTGCTGCTGCTTCTCTCGAGCCTGCTGGCTCACAGCATTGGCTTCGGGGTGGCAAAGTCCGTCCCTGTTGTCCCTGCCATCCCTGATCACAATCCTTGCTTAGATCTAAAAGAGTACAATTACCAGCCATCCCAGGAGCTGCCCCATGGTCGTTGGAGTTTCCCCGACGGCTTCGTGTTTGGCTCTGCCACAGCTGCTTACCAGGTACAACTACGTATATATCAGTTTCTTACCGTATCTATATTGCTCTCGTTCCTATTCTTAACCTACATACCTATATACATAAACATGAGGACCAACATGCACCTTTCTTTCAACCTGTTACGAGGACATGACTTCTACATACCAATTATAACCACGGATCTGTACCATTGGATGATAAGGACTATATATGGCCAGTTTTCATTCCATCAATAATCAACTGATTTATTATCTCATTTCTGGGTTTTCTCTGGCTAATCATTTCCTTTATTTTGTTTCTTGTTGTTGTTGTTGTTGGATGAAGGTCGAGGGTGCTGCAAATCAGTATTGCAGAGGCCCAAGTATCTGGGACAGATTCGCCCATGAGTTTCCAGGTCTGTAACTTATAGATGGCCGCCCTTTAAGCTGAGCTTACCTCCATCTGCAGTTAGGGTTTTGATGTATATGTTGATGACTGCAGAGAGGATAGCGGATGGGAGCAATGGAGATGTGGCACTGGACCATTATCACCGCTTGGAGGTATTAATATATACATATAGTTCTCATTAGCTAGGTTGACTTTGCCTGACAACAAATTTATTGATTAATTTGGGGTTTCCTTCAACGCACGTGCAGGAGGATATCGTAAGGATGAAATATATGAATTTGGATGCCTACCGTTTCTCCATCTCCTGGACTAGAATCATACCATGTGAGCAAAATTGCCCTTCTATTTGTGTTCCATTTTTTTTTTAGAGTTAGAGTAAGAATCGTTAATTTTACAACTCGAGAACGTAGATGGCCCGATCAAGACCGGAGTCAATGAGCAAGGAGTCAAGTTTTACCACGACCTGCTCGATTTGCTCGAGAAACATGGTGCGCAGAATGATTAAATACGACGCGTTACATTCCTTTGAGTTTTTGTGACTCGATCCTAAGTCTTGGTCAGACTAATGCATTTTATCCTTCAATTTGTAGGACTGGAGCCTTTTGTGACCATATGGCATTGGGATACCCCTCAAGCCCTGGAAGCTGAGTACGGTGGATTCTTAAGCCGTAACATTTTGTAAGTAATTCATGCAAAATATATGGTTCGTTGATTCCTTTGTTTAACCATGCTGGTTCCGTGGTTATGCAGGAAGGATTACGAAGATTACTGTGACTTCTTGTTCAAGGAATACGGCCACAGAATAAAGAAGTGGATCACTTTAAACGAGCCGATGGTCCATATTCAGCGAGGCTACGACGAAGGGCTGTTCGCACCGGGACGCTGTTCCGTATGGGTAAACAGAGCCTGTGTAGCCGGAGACTCGGCAACCGAACCTTACATCGTTGCCCACAATCTCCTCCTCGCTCATGCCGCTGCTTACCGTTTGTACGAGACAAAGTACAAGGTAGGTCGTCAGTCAGTCCGTCTAATAAATTAGCTAGATTCCATTATATTTATGCTTCTTTTTGTTTTGCACGACTGTTTGTCACCTGCAAAAAATTTGGGTTATAACACATTATTCGCGCAGGCCGAGCAACAAGGGGTAGTAGGGATCACATTAGTCACCTTCATGTATCTTCCTTACGACTCTAATAGTACGGCAGACATTGATGCTGTCCAGAGATCTCTGGACTTCAATTATGGCTGGTGCGTAAGTGGGTGGTTTATCACTGTGGAAAATTAATTTTCTTTTTCCAAATTGTATATGATGAAACTTGTTACGCACGTAATAGGTTCTTGGATCCTATTACCTTTGGTCGCTACCCAAGAAACATGGTGGACCTATTGGGATCTCGCCTGCCAACCTTCACACAACAAGAGTCGGACATGCTCAAGAACACGTATGATTTCATAGGCCTCAACTACTACACCACCTATTATTCCAAGAACAACACCAATTTCGACCCGGTGCATCTTCGATTTGGTTCCGACTCCCACGCCATTACTACTCGTAAGTACTCCAAATTCGTTACAGCGTCGAAATATGAACCAACTATTGTGTTTGAGTAAAAGTATTCTGAAGCAATGATCTTACTTGTTTCGACAGCTGAAAAAGACGGAGTCTATATTGGTCCGCCGGTACGTAATTTAGAACATGATAATTAAGCTTTGCCAGCTTCTTATGTATTATATAAACAAACAAGTTGGAACAAAAAATGATAGTGTATTTTTTCTTCAAATTTTGTTTGGTTTCATTTCGCAGGTGGGTTCCTTCTGGCAGTTTCTGTATCCTGACGGGCTCCGACTGCTTTTGGAGTACACCAAAGAAACCTATGGGGATCACGATATCTACATCACTGAGAACGGTAGCTATCTATAGCTTAAATATGGATTAAAGACTCCGTTAATAATTCAAGAGATTAGTCAAACTACAATATTTTTAGCTAGTTAATTTATATATAAAAAAATAGTTAGCACCTAACCTTTTTCGGTCTTATGGTACCTCTTAAGTAAACTTGTGTCATTTATATACTAATTAAAAAAAAACAACAACCAGGAATGGGGACGCAGGAGGACCCTACACTTACACTTGCAGAGGTCAGAAACGACACCATGCGGGTCAACTTCTACAACGCTCATCTGACTAGCGTTCGTCAGGCGATGAGGGAGAAGGATGTGAAGGTGAAAGGGTTCTTCGCCTGGTCGTACGCCGACAACTACGAATGGAACGACGGATACACGGTCCGGTTCGGGCTCAACTACGTCAACTACACGGATCTCTCCAGGTGGCCTAAGTACTCTGCTTGCTGGTACACCGGTTTCGCCTCCCGAGCCCAGCCCAAGGTCCTTAGCGATAACAATCTGCAGCAGCTGATCACCGCCGGCTATTCTCCAGCCGTCGGTCGCAAGACACTCTTCCGCCGCCCAGCAGCTTACGCTTATTAATCAATGATTGATTAGTGCCCTGCCGCATGCATGCTTTGCTTAAGATCGATGGTACTGTTAATTAAGTGTAATATCCGTCTCGACGACGACGGAATAATTTAAGTGTGAAGAATAAGAAGGATCCGGCGGTCACTACACTGAGCATGATCGTGATGAATACATGCAGCGTATAAGACATGCATCATGATGATGAGCAGGTGGCCTTCTGATCTGATTGGTCATTTAGTTATCAGTGTTGTGTTTTTTATTTTCCTTTCTTTTGTGTGTACCAATAAACTACTGTTGTTCTTTGAACGACGGCGGATGATATGTTGTACTGTGTCCTGTTATTGTTGGGTAAACTATTATTAAAAATATGATGATTAGTGATCAATCAGTGATAAGTACTTATTCCCCGACCCTCCCATATGTGTGCTACTTTGGCGCTTACATAATACGTTTGTTTAATTGATATATTTGTTTAAACTTATATAATAACTAACCCTAGATAGCCCGCATCAAGAGTGTGCGTTCACTTCTCTCAGAAACTGCAGCCCGTGTTTATTTTGCACTAGCAGCCGAGCTGGCTGGTCCAACCTTCTTCTCTGCGCCGGGGCAATGCCCTTGGCGGCAGGAATGGGGAATATGTTGTATCTTCCGGTCGCCATTTCTTCAATTAACCTCCAAGTTTGGCCCGAAGTGGAATTTGGAAAGCATCGTTTAAAATATGGATGTTCAGAGTAGGAGTTAGACGTGGACGATGCATAACAAACTAAATCAGAAAACATTACCGAGGCCTTGAAATAAGGTTGACTAAAGAGAAACAGTCTATAGATGGAATGAATTTTAATGTGGTATTTGTAAAGTAAATAGTTTGTAGCGTAAGTCATATCTATCTGTATTTTAAAGATCATTTGGATAAATGAATTCTGAATATGGTATTTGTAGAGACAAGTAATCGGTAGTTATCATTGTGGTATTTTTGTGTTATTTATGGGGTCGTTTGGATTAGTAATTTCGATGAAGGATTTATGGGGGATTTTAAAACAATCCCTCCTTCTACAAGATTTTAAAACATTTATGTATTTGGGAATATGAGAGATTCTGGGCATGAGAAAATTCTAAATCTCTCACATGAGGGTTTTTGAAATAGTTGAGGGAGATCTACAGGAAAAGAGGCTTTTGGCAACACTTTGTTTGCAACACTAATTCAATGTGTTGCTGAAAATTAGCAATGACAACACTTTTTAAAAATGTTACTTAAAAGATACTGTATACGACATAAATAGGTCATCACTTGAATTATGTCGCATTTGCTTAATCATATGCAACATTTATATCCCATATAATATTTATGTTGCTATTTATGCACTTTAAGCAACATTGTGACAAATAATGTTGAAAAAGGTTAAACATTTTTAAAATTAGGTATATTTTACTGATTGATTCGACGATGTAAAACCAGCTAGTTACATACCCTTGCATACTTACATGTTTAAAATTGAAAATTCACCATAATTTGCCCCTGGAATCAATACTAATTCTGAAATATAGGTATTAGGCAATAGAAATTACTTTGAAAAGAAATCTCTAATTAAAGAGATGAGAAGGGTTAATACTTAATAGAGGATGGGAAGGGTTAAACTCGGAGAGCGGATCACGTCAGTAACCTTATGGTGAGTAATCATGAGTAACCCGTCCACATCAGCATGATATTAGCATATTCTCTCTCCTGGAAAGCATTTAATTTTCCCCTCATTAATCTTTGACGGACGATTTCTCAATCGTTTTAAGTTGAAATTAAATTTTTTATGCACAGTTAGATCAGATTAATTGTGCTCTTCAAAATGATATCCACTTTGATATATTTTTCGAACCAAAAAAATTGAGCCATTTTTTACTAGTCTATACCATATGGTATTGACTGGTATTGAAATAAGAGTATACATATGGTTTGAAAAGCGTACCATGGTGGTATGACACAAACCAAAACTGTTGGATGGTTGAATGCATGATAGTAGAAGTATATTAATTGTCATTTAAGACTTTTAACATTGTATACCATAAGATACCACCCCGTACCAGGGTGGTATTGTATGGTTTTGTGTGGTATTTTTTGGTCCTGTAATTTGTTCACCCAGAAATTTGTAGATCCAATAGATCATGGTGAACTCGTCCCTGCTGTGCAAACGTTTTCAAAAACGAAATAAAAACGAAGAAGATACCATATGGTATGCAGTTGGTACCGAGTGGCCATGATTTTTTTTTCTCAAAAAATATTGAAAATTGATCTCATTTTGTAGAGCATGATGAACTCGTTCCATCTGTACAAAAAAATTTAAAATCTGAGTTAAAACGAAAAAGATATGAGTTAATTAAGAAAGATAGGGAAAATAAAAATGACCTAATTCTCTATCTTTAGATCTGGATTTTCTAAATAAAGGGTCCAGATTTGGTTACTAATGGGTGCATAACCATGGATTATGCCCCTTATCTTGAGCCTTAAACTCGATCATAAAAAGAGTTTTTGAGGATGGCAAAAGCCTCTTATTCTTTAATCTTGGTCATACAATTCCTTCATACTGGGACAATTGGATAAAAAAATTTAAGGTACAGAAACGGTCAAACCCCATTATAAACAAGAAGTACTTAGCAAATTCGTAGAATCTCCAACTTGCTATTTTGAAAAATTACAGTAATTCCGTCGGCAGTATAAGCTAGTTACTTTCTGTAACACATGGAATGTGGTAATTTATAAAGTAACTTTCTATAATATTCAAGATACATATTTGTATGCGGAAGTAGGGGTGGGCCGGTCCATTCAGTCCAGAGAGCCGGATTAAATTGAGATAGGTTCTGACAAAAAGTAAGGAAAAATGAGGATTATGGCTGTACCATAAGTATTTTTAGTTTATTAGGATCGTTTTGATCCAGGCCAAATTCAATTTTGGTCTATTTTTTCTTCATATGTAAAATACTTCATACTCAAAATATATTTGATTCCGTTCAAATATCTATCCGGTACGATTTGGTTAGTTATGAACCAGATCGTTGTACACCCTTCCGAGCCACGACTACTTGAAATTATTTATTTATAATTATTTCTATATATGAATTTAATTACTATAAAGTTTACTTATTAGAATTTGGAAGGCTGTTGTACATAGGATGGCAATGGGGCGGGTTTGGGGCGGGTTTGCCTAAACCATTCCCATCCCCGCTTCCAAATATCCAAACCCATACCCACCCATACCCATGCGGGGGAGGATTCGCAAACCCATTCCCATACCCATGGGTTTCGGGTACCCATGGGTAATACCCGCCTCGTACATCAACATTATAATAGCTAAAATTTTACATACAAAAATTTCAATTGTAATACTTAACGCACCTACTATTTCATAAAGTCGACAAAGAGACAATAATTCTTAATACGACTCTAAGCATCTTATTCTAAAACATCCAATAATCCATAAGATAGAGTAACAATATAAGCCAAATCATTATTCTCTGACTTTGTACATCTATTAAGTAATAACTTACCAATATAAAGTTGTTAACATGAGGAAAAAGTGTCAAAGAATGAAGGAAGATTTGGAGAAAATGAATTATGTTTTGATTTGGGTGGTCACTCAATTGTATTTATACTATTTATTTTCATGAGCTACCCTCGGTATTAATGATAGATTACAATTTAATCAATATACTTTTTATATGTGAAGAAATGTTCTTGGTGGGGGCGAGTATGGGTATGGGGCGCGGGGGGGGGGGGGGGGGGCTCTTTGCGGGTTTTACCCATACCCGGTCAATGCAGGGATTCCCCACGTTCACTGGATCGGGGGCGGTCGGATACCCGCGGCCATGGGTTTTGATTGCCATCCCTAGTTGTACACTTGTACTTCTTTTTTTCAAAGATTCTAAATTTAATCGTTATTGTTTTGATTTACTAACTACCATATATCTTTAAACTACCCTTCTCCACATTACACGTCTTTGCTAACTATTAATTATATAAATCAATCAATGGCAATTAGCAAAACCCTAAGCTAATCCCACCTAAAAGCCCCAATGAAACCCCAATCCTTTCTTCCCCCGGCCCGCACTAGAGCAGCCGCAAAGGTTTCAGCAGCGGTGATGATTCGCGGCGCAACTGTGTCGACGACGTTAGAAACAAAGTCTTCCAGCTGAGAGTTGCATGGAAGGATTGATGGCACACGCTCGACAACCGGAATCCACGATGATGACCGCAAGGGGATAACACAGCTACTAATTTGCTCGTTGATGGTAAGAAAGATGTTCTCATGTATTGCGATTTACGTAAAGGATTCAATATTGGTGATTGTTGTTTTTCTTTATTGTTTTATTATGTTTTATCGGCTTATTAGTTGATTTTCTTTGCTTTGCTACTATGACAGATGCAATCGAGTCAAAGCCTCAACTAAAGCAGCACTTACTTGATTGAAGGGGTGATCAACAAAGGCTTTTCTCGGATTGATGAATGTTATTTTATAGGGATTATTATTTCTTTATGCAATTGAAGATGCAATTTCTCGATGTAATCGTGATAACTTATCCTGTTATTGACCAAGTTTTTTATGTGGACAACTCTTGTAATTAAAAGACTTACACATGACAATAATGTTGTCACAAATAATATGTACTAGCAAAAGCCGGTTCGCTATGGTTTCGCATATCGCAAAGATAAATTTTTAAAGAGTAATAGTTTTAATGTTGACTCAAAAGTGAAGGTAATCTTATTTCATACTTAATATATTAATATTTTTTCATAGGTTTGTTATTTACAATAGCATATGGTCGACGAACTTGCATTAGGTAGAAGGGTCGTCGATTAGATTATTTATGTTTAAACTTCTTTCATGACGCTAATGTTTCAATTTGTATGGCTTTTTTTTGGGTTTGAGGTAATCGGGGTTCTCCTTTATGAAACTTTTGGACTGATTGCAGGTTTGAGCAGGTTCAACTCGCATTGATCAGGTCAAATTAGGTTGGATACCCATGGATTTGGATTCAATTATCTTTCTCAAACAAAAGGAAAAAGCAAAATGAAAAAAACTACAGCTAAAACTTGCTACTAACTCAAAACTCGTCAACACCAGGTTCAACTCGCTTTGACCTGGTTTGGCCGAGTTTTGGAAAAATTCATACCTGACACAACACGCAAGTACAAAACACAAATAAAACTCGCTCCCACCGAAAATCTGTAAAATCGGGTTCAAGTTACTTTGGTCGGGTCTAATTAGGTTGTATACCAATGCGTTTGGACTCAAGGGTAAAAAAAAATACTAAAGCAGATAAAACTCGCTCTCGATACGAAATGCGTCAACGATGGGTTAGAGTTCAATTGTCATTCTCAACGAAAAGGAAATTGAGAAATAAAAAAAAAACAAAGCGTACAACACTCACTTTCGATCTAAAACTGGTCAACAACGTGTTCAACTTGCTTTGAACAATTTATTAACAAATTAACACTTGGTCCAACCTGCCAACTACAAAAGCGGATAAAGCTAGCTCACAATACAACACTCGTCAAAATCTTAGATTCGGGTTCAATTGTCTTCCCAACCAAAAGAAGAAAAAAGAAATTTATAAATGCTAAAGTCGTTTTCAAGTCGCTTTGACTGGAACGAATTAGGTTGGATACGCATGGGTTTTCGGTTCAATTGTGATCATGCTCAACAAAAAGGATAAAAAGAAAGAAAAAACACTAAAGAGGATGAAACTCGGTCCCGATACAAAACTTATGGTAGGGGCCTTGGGAAATGATGGTGTGGAACAACTTAGGATTTTAGCGACAGTATTTCGAGATGGGCTGCAAAATGATGGGCAAAGGCGATGATTTGTGCAAAAGCCATAAACGAAAACCTAGCGAACAATAACAAAACAGTAAAGAGGATGAAACTCGGTCCATATACAAAACTCGTGGTAGCGGCCTTGGGAAACGATGTTGGGGAACAACTTAGAATTCTGCCGACAGTATTTCGAGATGGGCTGCAAAATGTTAGGCAAAGGCTTGTGTTCAAGTTAGGAACCCATGTGTTTGGTTGGGTTCAATTGTGATCATGCTCAACAAAAAGGGGAAAACGAAAGAAAAAACACTAAAGAGGATGAAACACTGTCCCGATACAAAACTCGTGGTAGAGGCCTTGGAAAACATTGGCGGGGAACAACTTAGGATCTCGCCGACAGTATTTTGAGATGGGTTGCAAAATGATGGGCAGGCGATGATTTGTGCAAAAAGCCATAGACGAAAACCTAAATAACAATAACAAAACACAAAGGCGATGGTTTGTGCAAAAAGCCATAACGAAAACCTAGCGAACAATAAGTAAACACAAAAGTTGTAGAATGGAGAGTGGGGTAAAAGAAGGATTTGGAACTTACCCACTTGCACTTGAGAAGTGTGAGAGCTAGTAATGAATAGTAAATCACATGTTAGGCTTTTATATATTAATTAATTTTTGATTACTCAAGTTCTCATTATTGTTGTCAATTTGTGATGATATTTGAATAAAAATATTGGAGTGACAAATTATATCATCATTAATTTATACTATAGCTTCAATGTACAGTTGTCACAAATATTATCATATATGAACAAATTATTCTTCATAATAATTTGTTCTACAAATGTTTTTTTGTCAGCAATGCAATGTTGCAATTGTACACCAATAATTTGTTAAAAAAAAAAATTAGTGATAAGAACACCATCTCAAAAATTGCATTTTCTCACAAAAGTATTGTTGGAGAGGTGGTTCATTTGTAACAACTTAAACTGGTCACAGTTAAAATTCATTTGGTGATGATACAAACTCGTCAAAAGTGTATAGTATTCGTTACAAGGAAAAGTTGTCACGATCAAGTACGTCTTATGTGACGAAAAATCTGGTGATTAAAAGAATAGAACATATACATGTTGGTTATATTTGTAAACAAGTGTTGCCAAAAATAGTGTTGCATATGGGGTATACATATTGCCAAAAATAGTGTTGCATATGGGGTATACATATGCAACACTCTTATTTTTTGTTGCAAAAGGTGAAAAAGTGTTATTTATTACTTTAGGTAACACCACCTGTAGGTGACACTACAATAAGTGTTGCATATCGCATATACAACACTTTCGACACTTCTTACAACACATTTCATGTGTTGGCAAATGCAACTTTTCCCGTAGTGTCAGTTATTTCACAATCATTCGTTTTTTCTAACTTTTTTCCAAACTTTGCCTTGGACACCGACTCTCGTCCAAGTTTGCTACTAACTTTTTGCCTTTCTTCTTCCTTGATCCCTCTCGTCCCCATGGACACCGACTCTCTGTCAAGAAGCTTGCTGCTACCGTCAAAACTTGTCGTTGCCGTCAAAGTTGGTTGTCATCGCCGTCTTCAAGAACTGGTTCTGGCAATTGGAAGGTGGTTCTTCCATTGAACGAATGAATCGTCCGTAGGAGACGACGAGAAGAGTGCAGAGGTTTTGGTGGTGTCGATTTTCGTCGTCGGATTCTCAGTTTTGGCTCGATTTACGTAGTTGGATTCTAGGTTCCTCACGAGGTTGCCAAGCGGGAAATTGCAAGGTTGCTCAGAGCACCCACCAACATCGCCTATCTTTCTCTCATGGGTTTTGATTAGATCTATACCAAACAAAATTAGTGGCCAGATTTTCAATCGGCAGCAATAGGTCTCTGGTTTGGGAGGAGATAGCACCACTGTCGATGTCTGCTCAGCCTCGCAATTCTCTCTCACTAGTCGATCGCGAACCCTCATCGACGCCGCCTCACCATCCTCGCTTCGTTGCCGATTCGCCAACCGCTAGTATCTTGGCCTTCCCAATCATCAAGTCTCAGCCAGCTATTGTTGTTTTCTGGTTAAAGATATCCAAAATCAGATGTTGATTGTTGCTTTTTTTTTCTTCGAAACAGTGGAAATAGGAATGGGAAAAAGAAGACGAGACAGATGTGTAGAAGGAGGTGGGTTAGAGATGGGTATTATTGTAACTTTAATTTTTTAATTAAAATCCTTCATCTATTCCCAAACAAGTTATTTGGCCCAAGTCCAACGTTTAAAATATCTAGGTTTTTAATTGAGAGATTTTAAACCAAATATCTCATTTACACATTCCTTAATTCAAGCAACCCCATGGAGAAATTGAGATCAACAATCTTGTTTGGCCGAATAATTCAAATGTGTTATTTGAACTAAACCCCAATACTGGTCTCAATTATCAATGAGCTCATCTTCCCTCCCAATCAAGGTTGTCTACCCGTGGGTCGACCCACTTTGAACCTGGCCTGATGAGAAAAATGGGCCGCACGCACCCGCTGGGTCGACTGCTACAAGGTACCATGTTGGAGGTCAAATTGTGTCTTTTATTCTTTGGTTTGCGAAATGCGCCTATTTTCCGATTTTTCTTTTCACTTAACTCAATCTTTGGAATTATAAGTTGAACATTGATGTGACCAAAGCACGTAGCCTTCCTCCTTTTTAGGGGTTTTCTTAATTTTCTCCAACTCGAAATGAAAGATAAAGATGGAACACGATCAAACAGATTCCAACTCGTGTGAAAGGCCAATTGGTATATGAAACCAATCATTCAATCACCCACTCGTGAATAAGGCCAATCGCTATTAGGTAGAAGCTCACCACAACTAGACACGTTCTCTAGTTGATAATAGACACGTAAAAATCCTGGAGCACTCTCGACAGAAGCTTGCACAAAGAAAACGAACTTGAAAGTTAATTGATAATAGGAGTTACAATGAGGAACTCGGCCTCTTATTTATAGACTAGCTAACACAAATCCAAAGCTTAAAATGAAAAACAAATCCTACGAGTAAAAGGAAAAACACAATCCTTAAAAGACAAGTAAAAGGAAAACACAATCCTTAAAAGACAAGGAAAAGACTTGGTCAACAAATCCCCAGATTCTAGCCTTGAAATCCCCCAGCCCTTCCCTTGTGTTCCTACCTTTGATTCCTTTCCCACCTTGATCCTTTTCACACTTGAGACTCCCCTTCTCTTCCTCAGTGGAATCCTCTTCTCCTTCCAAGCCCATTCTTCCTTCATTCTGGTCCACGAGTTGTAGCAATGTAATGGCCTTCCCATGATGATGATCCACGTCCATTTAAGCAAAGTGACAATCCAAATAGGCATCAAACTCCTCCCTTAACCTTTTTGCTTGTAGACGTGTAATTGGCCCTTCTTGTGATGAAATGGACTTGGTGTTGATGACCTCATCAGTCCCTCCCTCTTGAAAAGGATTTGACTTCAAATCCAAATTGTCCTCAAAATATGGTGCAAGGTCAGAAACGTTGAAGGTTGCACTTATCCCATACTCTCCGGGCAAATCGATTTTGTAGGCATTGCTTCCAACCTTCGAAATAACTTGAAAGGGACCTTCACTTTGAGGTAACAACTTGGATCTCCTTTGATAAGGAAACCTTTCCTTTCTCATGTGAACCCATACCCAATCTCTAGCTTCAAACGATCGAGGCTTCCTATTACGATTGACATTCTTCATGATTTGCTCTGTCCTCCTCTCAATGTTTAGTCTGGCCTTCTCGTGGAGATTTTTCACAAATTCAGCCTTCTTTGCTCAATCCATGTTAACTTGTTCCTTCAAGGGCAAATGTGTCAAATCCAATGGTGTAAGTGGATTGAACCCATACACGAGCTCAAAAGGTGAATGCTTTGTGGTTGAATGCATTGCTCGATTGTAGGCAAACTCGACATGTGGTAGACAGTCTTCCCAAGTTTTGATGTTGCTCTTGATCACGGCTCGTAGCATTTGGGATAGAGTATGATTGACCACTTCAGTTTGTCCATCCGTTTGAGGATGACAAGTCGTTGAAAACAAAAGCTTGGTGTGGACTTTACTCCACCATGTTTTCCAAAAGTAGCTCAGAAACTTTGCATCTCGATCAGACACAATGGTACGTGGCATTCCATGCAACCTCACGATCTCCTTGAAGAAGAAATCAGCCACGTTGTTTGCATCATCCGTTCTGTGGCACGGAATGAAAGGTGCCATCTTCGAGAAATGATCCACCACGACAAAAATTGAATCCATGCCTCTCCTTTTCCTTGGAAGTCCTAGCACAAAATCCATTGAAATGTCAACCAATGGTGCATAAGGAATAGGTAGTGGTGTGTACAACCCAGATGGTTGCTTCTTCGATTTAGCATGTTGGCATTCTACACATCGTGCACATAACTTCTCCACATCTCCTTTCATGTGAGTGTAACACACTAACCTGGCCGGGTACTACTTTTACTAAAATGCCCTTGATAAATAAAATAAATCTTAAATTGTAGCGGGAAACACTTTCACAAATAAAATACTGAAAACCCACTCTTGTAGTTCAAAGCAAAGCCCTAACATGTGGGAAAATTAAACTCAAACTTTAAAATCTCAATCTGATCTCCAGTCTATACTCATAATCATAAAATGCAAATAACCCGGTAGTCTTTGTCGTTTCTGCTACCGAAAATCTTAACTAGGCATCCTCCGTGACGCTTACACTGCCCTTCTCTAGCTGGCTGCCCTCGAACGTGCTGCTCACTAACTACTCCTCTACCTCCTTCTCTAGCTCGTCAAACTGGTGTGTGAGATGGGGTCAGTCTACGCCCTTACGTTTAACATCTTATTCATCTTATTAATACTTGATCACTTTACTTAACTTAGTGGAAGTTGTTGTCTACGTCCACCATTAAAAATCTTGACTCTTGAAACTGTACTCTTAAAACTCAAATCTCCACTTAAATTCTTGACTGACACGGGGATCCCTCACTAGCTAGTCCGGTTGCCAACTCATACGTATGAGAAGCCATCTAGGCTTTCCTTAAACTTAAACTTAGTTAGGGAAGTCGTAACGATTCATCCCCCTAACATCTTAAACTTACCGTGGTGGCTCTTCACCACGATTCTCAAGAGCATAACTGTTCCTCATCTTAAAAGTCTCAAGAGCATAACTGCTGCTCTATCTCAAAATGTCTCAAATGGCAACGGACTGGCGCTAGTGAATAAAAACACTTAAAACGACTTTACCTTCTTGAAGGTAGGTTACTTCTTAAAAAGAACTTGTTTCTTAAACTTTAACAATAACTCATAACATAACACTTTAAGGTAAATAGCACAAAATCACCCCAAATCACCCCAAATAGCACAAAATCACCTCAAATCATAGCTCAAGCAAAGCACAAATAATCAATCAAAAACATGATCAAGCAATGGTAACCAATTCACTAAAATACTTAAAATCATAATACTTAAAAGAATACGTAAGGCGTAGAATTTACCCCCTTTACACTCACCTTGATATCGTGTCAATTAACTCGAACCAACCACCATGAAAAGTGTCGATCACCTTGAGTTCATCCCTCCTTGAAATCTCCACACGAGCTCCATCATCATGTGATTCCAACAGCTCAAAGTTAATTATGTACCATCTGATCTACCCCACCTCTTCAATACCCAAAACCAATAATTCCATCCATCTCCATTGAGCTTTCAGTTTTTGAATCCTCGGCACTATCATCTTCTACTGCTCTCTTCCTGATGTTCTTGCTCTTAGTTGGCTTTCTGAAAAAGTTGCATACTTGTTTAGGCTATTGAAACTCTCCTGAACCTATCATATTTGGATGAACGGGGTAAAGCGATCAGGGCTTCACCAAAAATTGTCCTCTTGCAATCGCAAACCAGTACGAGTCTCGTCTTCTTCTTCCACTTGCCAGTTATCAAATTTACGCCTCCATCAACAAAACTAGCTAGCTAGATAGGAAAGAAGCGCGGCCTTATCTGTCGATTCAACAAACGCTTACAAGAAGCTCGCCGTCAGTTTTCAACTCCCCTAGTCGAATTTCTTCGAGCTCAAGCGACAAGAAAGGACGAATTAGGGACAGAAAAAGAACTTTCGACAGCGCTCTCTGGCCACCGCTAGCTCTTCTAAGGTGAGTAGGGTTTAATTGGTGGTGAGGCCGAGTTAGGTACGGGGTTTCGGGTTAGCTTAGGTTTTAATTAGTTCAAGGGGTATTTTGGGCATTTCATAAATTACGGGTGAGTTTAATCTGAAACTCAATTAACGTCCATAATTTTCTCACTTGATGTCAAAATTCGACACTACTTGAACCGAAAGTTCACATTTTTAGTCCTCCTCGACATTACGGTGAAATTTGACAAATTTGGACCAAGGGCATAATTGTCATTTCGGCTTAGAAAAAGATGGGGTGTAACATTTCCTCCACCTTTACAAAAATTTCGTCCCCGAAATTTGCTTGAAACTCATTGCTCATTCTACACCATCTTTGTACTTCCTTGCCTCAAGAATTTACTCTAGCTAAATGTACTTTGATGATGTCCGTTGCTTGTCCCGTATAGTTTACCTCACTTCTTATATTTCCTCTTGACCATATAAGGGATTCTCACCAAGCTCGTTAGCATCGGGCAGCTTTGGGTGGCTACTTATCCTTTTTAATTCTCCACTTGGGCATAAGGCGTGACGGGATAACACTTTGTGTCGATTTATTGGTCCAGCTCATTCAGTACTTGTTTTTGAACCTTAGATTGAATTCGAGGTGTCACATTTCCTCCCTCCTTAAGAAAAATTTCGACCTCGAAATTTGTTCATTGCTGATAACCTAAAGTCTCACTTGAGGTAATCCTTCTGCTCTAAGGACTTATACTTCCTTTACCTTATACGATCTGGAGCTATAAACCCTTGCCTCCAATTCGTGTGGTACTTGGCCGACTTATAACTCACCCATTTCCC